TGTAGGCCTGGGTCCAGGAGAGCATGTAGGCCTGGGTCCAGGAGAGCATGTAGGCCTGGGTCCAGGACAGCATGTAGGCCTGGGTCCAGGAGAACATGTAGGCCTGGGTCCAGGAGAGCATGTAGGCCTGGGTCCAGGAGAGCATGCAGGCCTGGATCCAGGAGAGCATATATAGGCCTGGGTCCAGGAGGCATGTAGGCCTGGGTCCAGGAAGAACATGTAGGCCTGGGTCCAGGAGAACATGTAGGCCTGTGTCCAGGAGAACATGTAGGCCTGGGTCCAGGAGAACATGTAGGCCTGGGTCCAGGAGAACATGTAGGCCTGGGTCCAGGAGAGCATGTAGGCCTGGGTCCAGGAGAGCATGTAGGCCTGGGTCCAGGAGAGCATGTAGGCCTGGGTCCAGGAGAGCATGTAGGCCTGGGTCCAGGAGAACATGTAGACCTGGGTCCAGGAGAGCATGTAGGCCTGGGTCCAGGAGAGCATGCAGGCCTGGATCCAGGAGAGCATATAGGCCTGGGTCCAGGAGAGCATGTAGGCCTGGGTCCAGGAGAGCATGTAGGCCTGGGTCCAGGAGAGCATGTAGGCCTGGGTCCAGGAGAGCATGTAGGCCTGGGTCCAGGAGAACATGTAGGCCTGGGTCCAGGAGAGCATGTAGGCCTGGGTCCAGGAGAGCATGCAGGCCTGGATCCAGGAGAGCATGCAGGCCTGGGTCCAGGAGAGCATGTAGGCCTGGGTCCAGGAGAACATGTAGGCCTGGGTCCAGGAGAACATGTAGGCCTGGGTCCAGGAGAGCATGTAGGCTTGGGTCCAGGAGAGCATGTAGGCCTGGGTCCAGGAGAACATGTAGGCCTAGGTCCAGGAGAGCATGTAGGCCTGGGTCCAGGAAGCATGTAGGCCTGGGTCCAGGAGAAGCATGTAGGCCTAGGTCCAGGAGTGCATGTAGGCCTGGGCCAGGAGAACATGTAGGCCTGGGTCCAGGAGAGCATGTAGGCCTGGGTCCAGGAGAGCATGTAGGCCTGGGTCCAGGAGAGCATGTAGGCCTGGGTCCAGGAGAGCATGTAGGCCTGGGTCCAGGAGAGCATGTAGGCCTGGGTCCAGGAGGCATGTAGCCTGGGTCCAGGAGAGCATGTAGGCCTGGGTCCAGGAGAGCATGTAGGCCTGGGTCCAGGAGAGCATGTAGGCCTGGGTCCAGGAGAACATATAGGCGTGGATCCAGGAGAGCATGTAGGCCTGGGTCCAGGAGAGCATGTAGGCCTGGGTCCAGGAGAGCATGTAGGCCTGGGTCCAGGAGAGCATGTAGGCCTGGGTCCAGGAGAACATTAGGCTGGGTCCAGGAGAGCATGTAGGCCTGGGTCCAGGAGAGCATGCAGGCCTGGATCCAGGAGAGCATATAGGCCTGGGTCCAGGAGAGCATGTAGGCCTGGGTCCAGGAGAGCATGTAGGCCTGGGTCCAGGAGAGCATGTAGGCCTGGGTCCAGGAGAGCATGTTGGCCTGGGTCCAGGAGTGCATGTAGGCCTGGGTCCAGGAGAACATGTAGGCTTGGGTCCAGGAGAGCATGTAGGCCTGTGTCCAGGAGAACATGTAGGCCTGTGTCCAGGAGAACATGTAGGCCTGTGTCCAGGAGAACATGTAGGCCTGTCCAGGAGAACATGTAGGCCTGGGTCCAGGAGACATGTAGGCCTGGGTCCAGGAGAAGCAGTAGGCCTGTGTCCAGGACAGCACTGTAGGCCTGGTCCAGGAGACATGTAGGTCCTGGGTCCAGGAGACATGTAGGCCGTAGGGTCCAGGAGAGCATGTAGGCCTGGGTCCAGGAGAGCATGTAGGCCTGGGTCCAGGAGAGCATGTAGGCCTGGGTCCAGGAGAGCATGTAGGTCTGGGTCCAGGAGAGCATGTAGGCCTGGGTCCAGGAGAGCATGTAGGCCTGGGTCCTGGAGAGCATGTAGGCCTGGGTCCAGGAGAGCATGTAGGCCTGGGTCCAGGAGACATAGGCGTGGATCCGGAGAGCATGTAGGCCTGGGTCCAGGAGAGCATGTAGGCCTGGGTCCAGAGAGCATGTAGGCCTGGGTCCGAGAGAGTAGGGCAAAATGTAGGCCTGGGTCCAGGAGAGCATGTAGGCCTGGGTCCAGGAGAGATGAGGCCTGGTCCAGGAGAGCATAGAGGCCTGGTCAGGAGAGCAGTAGGCCTGGTCCAGGAGAACATGTAGGCCTGGTCCAGGAGAGCATGTAGGCCTGGGTCCAGGAGAACATGTTGGCTGGTCCAGGATACATGTAGGCCTGGTCCAGGAGAACATGTAGGCTGGGTCCAGGAGAACATGTAGACCTGTGTCCAGGAGAACATGTAGGCCTGTGTCCAGGAGAACATGAGACTGTGTCCAGGAAACATGTAAGGCCTGTGTCCAGGAGAACATGTAGGCCTGTACCAGGAGAACATGTAGGCCTGGGTCCAGGAGGCAGGGTAGAACATGTAGGCCTGGGTCCAGGAGAACATGTAGGCTGGTCCAGGAGAACATGTAGGCCTGGTCCAGGAGACATGTAGGCCTGGTCCGGAGAGACATGTAGCCTGGGTCCAGGAGACATGTAGGCCTGGGTCCAGGAGAGAACATGTAGGCCTGAGTCCGGAGAACAATGTAGGCCTGGTCCAGGAGAAGTAGGCCTGGGTCCAGTAGGCCTGTGTCCAGGAGAACATGTAGGCCTGGGTCCAGGAGAACATGTAGACCTGTGTCCAGGAGAACATGTAGGCCTGTGTCCAGGAGAACATGTAGGCCTGGGTCCAGNGTTAGGCCTGTGTCCAGGAGAACATGTAGGCCTGGGTCCAGTAGGCCTGTGTCCAGGAGAACATGTAGGACTGTGTCCAGGAGAACATGTAGGCCTGGTTCCAGTAGGCCTGTGTCCAGGAGAACATGTAGGACTGTGTCCAGGAGAACATGTAGGCCTGGAGTAGGCCTGTGTCCAGGAGAACATGTAGACCTGTGTCCAGGAGAACATGTAGGCCTGTGTCCAGGAGAACATGTAGACCTGTGTCCAGGAGAACATGTAGGCCTGGGTCCAGGAGAACATGTAGGCCTGGGTCCAGGAGAAAATTAGGCCTGGTCAGGAGAACATGTAGGCCTGGGTCCAGGAGAACATGTAGACCTGGGTCCAGGAGAACATGTAGACCTGGGTCCAGGAGAACATGTAGGCCTGGGTCCAGGAGAACATGTAGGCCTGTGTCCAGGAGAACATGTAGGCCTGTGTCCAGGAGAACATGTAGGCCTGGGTCCAGTAGGCCTGTGTCCAGGAGAACATGTAGGCCTGGGTCCAGGAGAACATGTAGACCTGTGTCCAGGAGAACATGTAGGCCTGTGTCCAGGAGAACATGTAGACCTGTGTCCAGGAGAACATGTAGGGCAACTGTGTCCAGGAGAACATGTAGACCTGTGTCCAGGAGAACTGTAGGCCTGGTTCAGACTGCAGAAAATAGGACATGTGCAGAAAACATAGTGAACAGAGGTTAAAACATTTATAAAACCTCAGTGTCCAGAAACAATTTGTCAAGCTGGAACCAAAGAATCATTAGACCAGAGAAAGAGAACAAGCTTTGGTCCAAACATCTAGCCTTGTCCAGGAAAATATAGCTGGGTCAGAAACACTGTAGCTGTCAACAGTAACATGTAGACCGGGTCCAGTGATACATGAGCCTGTGTCCAGGATAAGAGGCCGTGGTCCAGGAGAACCAGAAACCCCTTCAGGATAACTGTAGCGAGTACGAGAAATGTAGTGGAGGAGCAACATGGATGGCAGAGAAATGTAGACCCTGAGAGAAAGTACCTGAGCAGGGAAATGAGACCTTGATCCAGGAGAAGCATGAGCTTGTCCCGGGTGAACTGTATCCTCAGTAGCCAGGAGACTTGTAGGCCAGGGACTGAGAACAATCATGGATGTTGCATCCAGAGTTATAGTTTATGTCAGTGGTCCAGATATAGTCCATTTTGTAGGTGGGTCCAGGAGAATCAGTAAGAAAGAGCCAGTACTATGTTGGTCAAGATTTCATGTAGGTTACGGGCATGGAATTCTTAGCTGGGTCAGACAGTACCAGCCTTGATCAGAGTCATGCACTCATGAGTCTGTCCAGAAGGATCGTGGCCTGGGTCCCCGCCGAGACCCTCCTCATCCGTATATCACCTAGTAACACGGGTAAGATGTCTGGGTGAGCGCTAGGTGGTGGAGTAGGGAACATGAGAGGTTCCAGAGGCTGCAGGTCTCTGTCCCCACCAATGTTTTGGTCCACCGAGAATTCAGTAATATTTCCAAGTAACTGTAATTATTTCCTGAGGTCTATGATCTTAGAGAACAGTGGAGGGGGTGAGTGCCACCTAGTGGAGGGGTTTTGATGCAGGTATCTGAGCTATTTCCTTGGATCAGAACATAACTCAGTCACAAGAGTTACATTAACCCTATTGTCAGAAGTCTGTGCCTCCTGCGCGCTTTTAGTTCCTCATCATTGATAATACACTTAAGGTTTTGTCCAAGGAACTATTGTCAGTCACTAGGAGTTCACATGAGCTCCACGGTCAAACAACCGTTGGTCACCAAATTAGTATTTTAATAAGTTAATTTTAATTTTCCTAGGGGTCTAAGTCTTAGGAGGGGGGGGGTGATTGACCCTTTGGAGGGGTTTTGATGCGAAAGGACTGGAGGGACTCCCCTTCTCTGATCAACATAAACCCACACTAGCGTTACATAACCCATAATTGTGTATCCAGTTCTGGGTTATTTTTTTTCCCATTATTGAAAATTAACTTTAAGGTCTCTTGATCCAAGGAACTTGCGCCTTGTGATCCACATAAACTTCCACGTAAACAAACTGTTAGTTATCAGGTTTATGTGAAAGAAATATTTATTAAAGAAAAAGATAGTTTTACCATGTTAAACATTAATTTATATATCAGTTTGTATTACATGGTAATGTTTATAAATGTGTAATGTTTATGGTTATAATGCGAATGTTTTGTTTCAGGTGTGGTAACTGAGGAGTGCTGTGCCTGGCTGTGTCTGCTGCAACATTGATCAACACAGCAACCTTGACCAGTCTGAGGGGTGGAGACAACCACATTAATAAATGGTCTGACCCATAGCATTTAGTGTTATATCTGGAGAGGATTACTCTATGTGGAGATGCAGCAGCTGGAGACACGTCAAAGGTGGGCGGGGCCCACTTGTAAGGTAATTCCAGGTTACAAGTCCACTAAAGTTTGGTTATTGAAGTAGAAATGTGTAAGTGATATATTATGGCTCGGTTGGTAGTGGCGTCAACTGAAGAACCGGGGTTCGATCCCGGGCACAAGTGGGCATGTTCATTTATATTCATGGCTACTGTTAACTTCAGAAAGCAGGCCTACTGACCCTAAGCAGGCCTACTGGTAGGGGTCGCATCCTGGGGGAGTATAAATACCCTAATAAAAATGTCAGATGTCATCCTGACGTGATTGTGTAATTTGTGTTAATTCTACCGGGTTAATAATTATACTGAAGCAGGCCTACTGGCCCATGTTAGGCAAGTCTAACTCGCAACCACTCACTTGTCTAACATTTTTAAAACTACACAGCCAAAGTTTTAGCTTCACATGACAGAATAAATTTTCCTCAGAGAATATATTATAGCCGGAAAAATCAATAACAGTTCCTCAGAAATGTGGAAATAACCGCATCTCCCTATTTTCAGTAGTTATAGAGGACCTGGACAAGTAACTTTATGCTTTGAAGTCCCAAAAATATTCTGTGGGTTTAGCGCGTAACAACTCTAGAGTCTGTATTAGAGCATCTTGGGGGGGGGGGAGTATTTGTTTTGAAATTGGGCTATACAGTGTATATTTAGAGACTTTACCTGGAGTTTACCTGGAAGAGAGTTCCGGGGGTCAACGCCCCCGCGGCCCGGTCTGTGACCAGGCCTCCTTAGGTCAGTGTCCCAGGATGCGACCCACACCAGTCGACTAACACCCAGGTACCCATTTTACTGATGGGGAACATAGACAACGGGTGGAAAGAAACACGTCCAATGTTTCTACTCTGGCTGGGAATCGAACCCAGGCCCTCACCGTGTGAAGCGAGAGCGTTAACCACCAGGCCACCAGAACCACTTTGTAGGCTGATCTTACCTAGACCCCCCCCCCCTTGTCTTACATGACCCTCCTTGATCTTCCCTGGACCCTCCTTGACTTACCTGGACCCTCCTTGATCTTACCTGGACCCTCCTTGATCTTCCCCTGGACCCTCCTTTGATCTTACCGGGCCCCCCCCTTGATCTTACCTGGACCCTCCTTGATCTTACCTGGACCCTCCTTGATCTTACCTGGACCCTCCTTGATCTTACCTGGACCCCCCTTGATCTTACCTGGGCCCTCCTTGATCTTACCTGGACCCCCCCCTTGATCTTACCTGGACCCCCCTTGATCTTACCGGGGACCCTCCTTGATTTTTACCTGGACCCTCCTTGATCTTAACTGGACCCCCCTTATCTTACCGGGACCCCCCTTGATCTTACCTGGACCCTCCTTGATCTTACCTGGACCCTCCTTGATCTTACCTGGACCCCCCTTGATCTTACCTGGGCCCTCCTTGATCTTACCTAGACCCTCCTTGATCTTACCTGGACCCCCCTTAATCTTACCTGGACCCCCTTAATCTTAAACCGGGGGACCCCCTTAATCTTACCTGGACCCCCCTTATCTTACCTGGACCCCCACCCTTTGATCTTACCTAGACCCCTCTTGATATTAACTAGCCCTCTTGATCTTACCTAGGCCCCCCCTTGACTTCCCTAGCCCCCCCCCTTGATTTACCAGACCCCCCCTTGATCTTACCTAGACCCCCCCCTTGATCTTACCTAGACCCCCCCTTGATCTTGCCTAACCCCCCCTTGATCTTACCTAACCCCCCTTGATCTTTCCTAGACCTCCCTTGATCTTACCTAGACCCCCCTTGATCTTACCTAGACCCCTCTTGATCTTACCTTCACTTCATCCACCCTTGCACCGCCACTGCTCTGCAAATTAGTAAGGCCTATACCTGGAGTATGTACTACATAGTTGATGTATATACATTTTGTAGGTCTACAATTATTTAGTTTCAACTATCAAAATAACTTATAGATTTAGGTAGTGTTAAGTAGGATAGGTAAGGTATAGAACAGGAGAATCTGCTATATGCATTATGAATGCATATAGCAGGGGAGAGTAATCTCCCCTGAAGGCATAGATTACGTAGAACTGTAGGCCTAGGAACCCACCAACGACCTTCAGTAGCTGTCTGCAGTCTGTTATTGCACGTGGTTTCCGTGGGGATGTTGGTGGGTTTCGGGCTTTGGGTAGCGGTTGTGGTGGGTGTTCTACGTTTTTTATGCCTTTGGCCAAACTGTGTAAAGTTAAATATTGGTTTATTGAGTTTACACAATTTCACCATATTGGTAAATTTAAACGGCGTTCAGGTTCGTATGAATATAAGTATTAGCGTTAAGAAGTGCAGTTGGTTTGATAGTTTGTATAAGTAGTGAAGTGTAACGCTTCTGGCAGCAGACGTTAATGTTGAAAATAATGAAAACCTCTGTTCTGAAGTGTTAGTCGGAAGAAAAGATTCACTAACATCGGATGCTGATGAGTATAGTTACGGGAGTGATTTAGTTCGGTGTTAGAATGGGATTATTAACCCTGCTGGGTTAGAAACCCAGAAAGAGGTACGTTGAGTGGGGGGCTTGAATGCAGTGGTCTTCAGGTTGTGCCTAGGATGCCAGCAATAACTGGCAGGTAAAGTAGGTTATGAATTCAGGCTGGCATAGTAGCGTGTTAGGAGACTGTTATACGGCAGAGCTCCAACTGATTAGATAATCCACAGCGTTGGTTGTTAACTTAGTGTGCTGAGGGACGTGGAAGTGTAGGGGAAATACAATGATGTCTTAATGATCCTAACTACCTTCATGTTAAATTGGGATGCCCTTCAAGGGGTGTCTTTGTACTAGTGAAGGTATCTTAATACAAGCAGTTGCAAGTACCCTCCCCTTGGATCATACCTGATTGCCCAACATTTCCCATCCTGTGTATAACCCCCATAGATAATATATTTATATAGTAATGGGAAAATTTATTTGGGTAAATGTGCACGTATGTAAAAGTTTGAATTGGGAAGGGGGGCGGTAAACACTCAGGGGACAGGACTGAAAATCAATCATGTTTGATTAAGAGGAGAGTACAGCAAGTAGACTTTTTATCAATATTTTTTTTTTCCATTTAGACGCCTATATTTAAGGGATATTAGGAGTAGGATTGGCTAGGTTGTAATGTATATAAGGGAGTTTATCCTCCAACTTGTTTAATTACGTCAGAACCCTCCTGACCAAACAAGACAATGATGAAACCCTTTGTCTCAGTGTTCTAATATCCTGTGTTTTAAGACTTGTGTAGGGTGAAGTATTTGCAGTGATAAGCATCTATATACTTGCGAAGGTTACGATGTGTGGTTTACCATATAAAGTATTACAAGGAAGGTCTCTAGCATGCCTAGGCATTTCTGGCAGAATAATCCTAATTCTTACTCTATATTGACACAGGTTATTGAGAGGTACATTTTAATATATCCTATAGCATTAGGTAACTGAAGTAAATTAGATTTATAAAAGTGATAATATAAAACATAAACCAATTACTAAATTTACTAATTGTTTTTAAGTCTTCGAGTTGTAGTGTTTCCGCTGAAGCTCCTATATTGGGAGAGTTGGGCGAACTTAGGGTTAACTTAAGATTTCTTATAGTTACTGCCTATGAGGAATTCGCAGATATTGAGTGAATCTATTTTGTTTTGGGTGTGCATGATACGAGTAATAGTATGTGGTTTTGTTAGTTACCCGATGATGGGGTGTGTTGGGGACATGTTTTTTAAAGGTAGTTTTGAAAATGGTGGTTGGGTCTGCAGTTCTTGAGTTTTCAGGCTGGAGTTCGATTTTAGGCCCCTTTTACTTACATAGTTTTTTTTCTTGTATAGATTTATTAACTAAATATGTTTATTATGCACCCCATACCCATCCTGTGGGCGGTAGTCAAAAGATTACAGAGGTACATAATTAGTCCAGGGATTGGAGTCCAAAGTTTTGAGGGCTGAGCAAGTTAGAGGTAATGAATTTAGCCGGACACGGGGAATTTCAGATTTTTGTCAGGTAAAATATGCCTTAAGGGTCCCAAAATTTAAAATGAGTTTGGTTATAATAGGAATTGACAATGATTTCCAAAAGGGATTATGTTTACAACGGATTTAGTCTTAGAAGGGGGAGGAAAGTTTGTCACATATTCTTTTTTTATCGGGTTAAAATTTTTGGGGGAAATTTTAAAATTGGTTAAGTGGTTGTGGTTTTGTCCCCGGATTAGGCAAGGTGAGGGCAGGGTTAATATTCTATTCACTCGGTGTAGGTTTGGTATTTTTTCTAAAAGGGGGAAACCCATACCCTTTGGATCTTTCCTTTTTATAGTGAGAGACCCAGGATTTTCTATTAAATTTTTTCTAATCATATTTATTTCAGTTGTGCAACATCTGCTCTGTTCCCAGACACTTAAACATGAGCCATTTTTATTTAGGTTTTCTAGCGAAGAGCTAACACTGGTGCTGAGTGAGGCAAGATCAGGGTGGGAGACGACAGAAGTCGTGTCTTCAGCAAAAGAGAATAGGTGTTGATACATTGATCTTTCCAATGAAGATCATGTTGTACATGAGGTCATGACATTTCAAAATTTATCATACCCCCAAACTACTAATAATGGCAGAACTGAGGCTGTTCGCCTCATTTCTACTATTGTTAGTAGGGTTGGGGGGTAGGTAAATTTTTTTTTTTCCCCCGAGCTTAAAGCTCCCGAATTGTGTAAATGTTATCCTCCTGCTGATAAATACAGCAGTTGAGGCTTGTCTCAAAGTTATAAAAAGAAATATATCTTTAGGTGTTCTTTACAAAACCAAAACACAACACACACCCCACACACCCCACACCACCCACACACAAAACACACACACAACCCCACACCCACACACAAACACACACACATGTTCGTGTTTTTTTTTCCTTGAACATTAACACGGCAAAGAAAGACATTTTAATTTATTACGTTTTAATTAATGCTATTAAGTTTATCGAATCTTGTAGGCTGAAGATATTCTCCACATTGTGGGCCTGCGTGTGGTGAGTCCGTGTTGTGGCAGCTGCGTTGTTGGGGAAGTCCGTGTTTGTGGCAGCTGCTGTGTGGTGAAGTTCCCTGTTGTGGGCAGGGGGTTGAATCCCTTTCAGTGCTGGGGTAAAAATTTTGTTTCAGATTTTTGAACCTGGGGAGTGCTGTGTGGAAGTCCTTGTTTTACAAGCTTCTTCCTTTTTGAAGGGTTTGGGTAAATTTTTTAAACTGTTTCCATGCTGGGAATCCGTTTTATCTCAGGTGTTGAAGTGGGGTTGTGGTGTGGTGGTGGAAAAGTGTGATGTGGCGCCCTATTTGAATCCTGTTTGGGGGCGCATGGGGGCCTGGGGAGGCTGGTGTAATGGTTTTTGTGGGGGTGGGGAAGGTGGGGGGTTGGCTGAGTGGTGGAGGGGTGGGAAATGGGGTTGTTGGTTCTGGTGGAAGGGTGTTGGGAGGGGGTAAGTGTTGGGGGGTTGTTGGGCCTTTTGGATTCTGTGGGTAACCAGTTTGTTATTGTGTGGGTTAACCCTGTTTAACTCTGTGTTTGAAAGCCTTTTTGGGGGGGGCTGCAAAGCCTGTTTGCACGATTTTAATTCCTTTGTGCAAGGCTGTTTTGAAAACCGTCCCTTTTGTCTGGGTTACCCTATTTGGGGGGCTTTGTGGTTAGTGTTTGTTTTGTAGTGGTAAAACCGGGGGAAATCCAACCGTTTTTCCTCTGGTGAACCCCGGTTTTGCATCCTTTTAAGTCCGTTTTTCATCTAGGTGGGAATTTTGGGGCAACCTTTTTTAACAGCCCTTTGGCAGGTGAAAAAATGCGAAATAAAATAGGAATTTCAGAAATTCAGGACACCAAAGCAATAAAACTACAATATTTCAAAGCTTTCCTCAACATTTTATAAAGGGAATTTCATTATTTTAAAAAATGATCAAAATTTCCACTTTGGGGAAAAACCAAGGGTTTATTACCAAATTGCAACTAAAATCATATGGAAAGGGGAGAAATGCGCACATCGTCCTGGTAAATGGGACTGGTAAGGGGGGTTTAATGGTTGTTTGAGGGGAATTTGGCTGCTGGTAAAGGTTAAGTAGTTTATTTTTCAAATGGATAAAATAGGGGGTTTTTAAGGTAATTTTTTTTTAATTAGTAAGAATTACTGGCTCATTCCCTTTTTATTTTAACACTTTAACTTTTAAATTTAAGAAAATAGAGAATCTTTTATCGTATTCCAAAAAATTAAGGGCACTTTTCCTCCTCCTTTGTTGGCTATTTTAATTTTTTTTTATGTTGTTGAAACTATAAACCAAAAATAGACCCTAAACTCCGGATACTAAATTTCATAAAAATTCATTGTCTACTATAATATAAGGAAAAAGGATTTTGGAGTGAAATGGACCCAACTTTTTAAAAAATTATTAACAACGTAAAATTATTCCAGAATAATTTCCCTTTCCCAAATAGGGTTAATAAAAACATACCCTAATAGAAATAGGGTAATTACCAAAGGTAACAAAAATCCAGAAAGGAATAATTTCCCCCGTCCCGGGTTTCTTGTATGGTTTTGGCTTTAAAACCTCAACACACAAGGCCTGGTGCATCCCTGTACCCGGGGGAAAATATTATTTTTCCTTAAGAACACCCGCATAAAATAGTACCTGGGGATAATCACTGCCCTTTCCATCCTTACTAAAAATTTTAATTTGGTACAAGCTCCACCCTAAAATGCCCTTTCCTATACTTTAATAATTTATTAATCTAAAAATCAACTAAGGCTAGTATACATTTGTTACCCTTTGTAGAAATTAAGATTATTATTGGGTTGCTTGGCTAGTTAATGGGGTTTCAAGCCAATCGATTACACGAAGGTCATTAAGACTGTGTATCGCCTATTCACCACGAGCCATGAAAACTTGAATGCCTGAACTTAGAAATAAATCCATGTGTCAGCATATATACACAGAGATACACGAGCTATAATAATGATGGGCATCACAGAGGAATGGTGAACACACTAGATGAGGTGGCCAGAAGGGCTCACGTAGGCAGGCAAAGCTACTGGTCATGGAGACTGGGCGAACCTAGATTATAATCATGGGGGAGCGCGCTAGACCCGTAGGATTATACAGCGCGTGTGGGGGGGGGGATGTGGAAGGTATTCAGGCTCGATTCAGAGAACCGGAGCACAGATCCAATTCCCTAGATCAAGAGCCCTTCACCAGCGTCAAGGAACCTCCCTTGAGAAAGGGGGGAACCTAGAGGCACACGAGGAATGGCCAGGAATTCTGTTGAGAACTCAACATGGACTTAGGAGGTAGTCAGAGACAGAAAGGCTTCCAGCAATCTGATGCAGCAAAGTGCTGGACACAGTGCACACAACCGGGGAGGAGATGAAAAAACTGCTGTGTGAGCTAGATGCCTGGAAGGTGGTGGGACCAGATAACATCTCTCCGTGGATCCTGAGAGAGAGTGAGAGAGAGCGCGAGCGCAGAGGCAATGTGTAAGCTGCTAGCAGCAGTCTTCAATACTATCGGAACAGGGCAGCTGCCAGAGATGTGGAAGACAGCAAATGTAGTCCCAATTTTTAAGAAAGGAGACAGACAAGCAGCATTAAACTACAGACCTGTGTCCCTGACACGTATAGTATATAAAGTTATGGAGAAGATTATCAGAAGAGTGATGGAGCACCTAAAACGTAGTGGGCTCATACTTGACAACCAACTCGGCTTTAGAGATGGAAAATCTTGTCACAAACCTCCTGGAGTTCTACAACAAGGTAACAGAAGATAGGAGAGAAAGGGATGGGTAGACTGTATTTTCTTGAACTCTTCTACTTCTGACTCAATATCGCACAAGAGACTGGTACAAGAGCCAGTGGATCATGCAGGAATAACTGGAAAAGTACGTATAGGTCAGTACCATACGGCTATATACCCTGTGTGTAAGTTTTTTTTTTTTCGAGACCGCTACAAATGGTTTCACAGACTGTACTACATTACACATTTATTCCACGATAACTCAATAAAGCCAGTATGATTTATTTCTGTTGGGCTCATAATTTTTTTATTATTAACACATCGGCCGTCTCCCACCAAGGCAGGGTGACCCGAAAAAGAAAAACTTTCATCATTCAGCTCCTTCACTGTCTTGCCAGAGGTGCACTTACACCACAGTTATAAAACTGCAACAATATATTATTACTGGCAAGCGTTAAACCCAAAAAACATAATGAACCTGAGTAACAAGAGGCGATCAGGTCTGATCTGAAGAAGACGAGGGTGGTTCCAATTCCTCGGATCGAGAGTCATTCACCAACAACTAAGGTCTATTCATGCAGGGGTTCTGACCTATATAGAGAAGTACAGATAGATAGATAGATAGATAGAAGGAAAGAATTGAGGGTAAACAGGGTGATTAAGCAACGATGGTAGTTATGGAGGTACCAGCATAATGCTGATTGTGTTGGGCTGGTGGGGAAGGAGGGGGAGGAAAGGTGTGAAGGGTGGATGATAGGGGTGTCAGAGACCCAAATTGAAGACTCATTTGCCAGTCAGCCAGCATAAAGCGGGTGAGGTGTCCCACTGGTGAGTTTGTTCTCTTGTCTGTGGCTGATAGTGTGACAAGTTGATAGTGTGACTGTGGTTAATAGTGTCTGTGGTAGTGTTTGTGGTTGATAGTGTTTGTACTCACCTAATTGTGGTTGCAGGGGTCGAGACTCAGCTCCTGGCCCCCGCCTCTTCACTGAGCGCTACTAGGCCCCTCTGCTTCCTGAGCTTTGTCATACCTCGTCTTAAAGCTATGTACGGTTCCTGCCTCCACTACATCACTTGCTAGGCTATTCCACTTCCTGACGACTCTGAAGAAATACTTCCTAACATCCCTGTGACTCGTCTGAGTCTTCAGCTTCCAACTGTGACCCCTTGTTTGTGTCCCCTCTGGAACATCCTGTCTCTGTCCATCTTGTCTATTCCACGCCGTATTTTGTATGTCGTTATGTTTCCCCTGACCCTCCTGTCCTCCAGTGTCGTCAGTCCGATTTCCCTCAACCTTTCTTCGTAGGACATTTTCCTTAGCTCTGGAACTAGCCTTGTTGCAAACCTTAGTACTTTCTCTAATTTCTTGACGTGCTTGACAAGGTGTGGGTTCCAAACTGGTGCTGCATACTCCAGTATGGGCCTGACGTACATTGTACAGTGTCTTGAACGATTCCTTACTAAGGTATCGGAATGCTATTCTCAGGTTTGCCAGGCGCCCACATGCTGCAACAGTTGTCTGGTTGTGTGCTTCCGGAGACATGCTCGATGTTATGATCACCCCAAGATCTTCCTCCTTGAGTGAGGTTTGTGGTTTGGTTGTGTGTGTGTTTGGATTGTCTGTAGATCTTCTAGGTTGGCGAGTTAAATATGATGGTGATGGATGTTGTGGTAATTATGGTTGTGGCGGTGGGAATGATTGTTGAGGGGTGGTGAGAAGAGTGGTTGTGAGGGTGGCAATGGTGAGGATGCTGGTGGTATAGGAGGGGAGGTGGGGGAGTGTACCGAGAACTGCACCCATTAACTGATAACTTTCTCAGATATGTACAGTAATATTACTTTATTAAGAAGACCCACAGTGAGTTTAGTAAAGCTCTGAGTGGCCCTCACCGCCTCACATTATACACACCGCAGACGAACCTTGCAACACCTCTAATGTATTTTGTTATACACTCTAGTTTTTCAGAATTTTTTTCTCGTACTTTCTACTTCCCTTCATGTATTTTCTAGTCTACTATGAGCTAGTAAAAGACTGTACTTAAATTAGTTTAAATTGTTAAAATATTCTGTTTTGTCGGCTATATGTCTAGTAGGCTTTTTTTTTTTTTTTAATATGACCCTTGTGGGTTTAGCGCTTCTTTATAATGTAATAGGTGACTGACTAATGAGGATTTTCTCTTACGAACTCTTGTATTTAACTATTTTTTTTTGGATGCGAAATTAAAACTTTAATATAAATTCAGTGGTTTGCTTGTCGTGGTATAAATTTTCTATACATGTTAATGTATATTTGTTTACACACAATGTTCCCCAACAGTTCGCCGAGTGGCAAGACTTGATAGCTGTCGTCAGGAAGGATGAGTCAAGAATTCGAAGATAGGTTCTTGCATTGTCTTCACACAGATCTTCCTCCTCCGCTGCCCAGGCAGGCCAGAGACATGGACTACCCATCCTGTGGTGAGTACTGAGTTTTCATCAATGCGTGTAACAGTTCGTTATAACCATTATATCTAGCGCTGTCTGCCTCTGCGTCCCTTTCCCTCTTGAAACTCTTCTACCCCCTGTCACACTCATGGGGTTCGGGTTTTTATGGCTTTTGTGTGTGACCTGAACCCTAGCAACCTTGTCCTTCCTTATACTCGACCTAGATAAGAGATGGGTTATTTTTCCATGATTCAAAACGTTCTTGGTGACTTCCACACTAACCTAAACGAAGTGAAACGGGACTCCCTAAATCGTGGGTTCTATCCCCGCCCGTGGTATGGTTTGAAGTGAAAGATTGTGGACGTAATACTGGAGGCCGACTGCAAAGCCAGTTGTGCATGGCTTCCGGCTTTCTGATTTGCCTGTGCCCATTATCAGATGAATTGAACATGCAACATTTGTGATCTTAGCCTTTTAAATAGGTAGGTAATGCTGTTTTATCGAGGCTCCAGCCTTTCTGGTTTCTCTGCAGAAGCGATCAACCAACTGGAAATAGCCATTTTTTTTCAAGATAGCTGAAAATTAGCTGTGGTAAAAATTAATGATGGAAGCTGACGTTACAAGAACTAAACCAAACTGTTCAATCTTTTTCAGTCGTACAATTTGACTCGTTCCTCCAACAATAGACTAAACCACTGAAATTTATTGTTATATTACGAGATTTTTGCCTTTGTGTTTATACAAGAATGTATGTTACAGAACTGAGGCAGAGAGATGGACCGGAGGCTGTGTCCAGCAGGAGGCTAGGTGTGGGAGAGTCCCTGGCTGGATCAGCCTTGCTGCAGCTCGCCTCTAATATAATTCCCATCATGACTGGGATTGCCCCGTCCTCCAGGACTAAAGCAGCCACCGCCAGAACATTGAAATCTTCAAGGGGACCTAGTCTGTGCTCTTTTGCCCCTTCGTCAGCGAGATTCTCTGCCACCAACTCATTTACATCTGGAAAAAGTCAGAAGGATAAAACTCGATCAAAAAAGTTGAAGGCTAAATCAGTGACAGTAAAAGGAGAAAGAGACTCCATGTTAGTCGTGTCCGTAAATGAAGATGGTGATAGAACAAGTGCATTAAGCACTCGTGGAGAGCAAGATTACCAGGAGGCAAACAGCGCCATTTGCAAAGTGGGATCTGCACGGCCCATGCATTGTAAGAAGGAACTGGAAGAAACGAAGAATCTGAAATGCAAAATAATTCGTGAGAAATGTTTTTATGTATCGAGGGAGGTGAACCCAGATGGACGACACATTGAGAATGTTGTGGCTGAGTCTTCACGACCTATGGAAAGCTTCAGAGAAGAGAGCAAGGAGCACGTATATGAAGATCCAGAATTCTTTCTTAAAGAAGATATTGACAGGTTAGTATGCCATCAAACCCGAATACAAGCTCGGTCAACAGAAGCGAGACAGAAACCTAACTGTGTACCTCCAAAATCATTCAATACAGGTATTGATTCACAACAAAATGAAAGGAAGACGGCCATAAGAAAATCTGCCCCCGCGAAGCCACCTCGAAACAGCAGTTGCGGATATATTCATCCACCAAACAAGGAAATAGGCAACCACGGAAACGAGGACACCTTCGCAGTAAAATCCAGAAAGGGGTGACCGTGGCTATAAGAGATGGCAAGCTAAGTGACTCTAGGAAAATTTCCTGCAGGACTTTTGATGGAAAGTCTGCAGGTTTTGAATCTCTCGTTAAACCTGAATTAAATATCGGTAATAACATCAGACCAGCAATAAGCATTAACAAATTGAAAACAGATGAAAAAATGGAATCTATACCTAGTTGTTCTACACAAAATGTCTATTATTTTGGAGCGGAGATGCGAGGCTCTAGTTCCTCATCTCTTAGGAATATGATAGTTTCTAGGCCTCCAGATAAAGAACTTCGACGCCGGAATAGCCGGTCTCTCAGTCCTTCCAGACCACCTGACGAAGGACTTCGAAGAAGAAACAGCCGATCTCTTAGCCCTTCCAGACCACCAGGCACACCATTTCAGTGCCAAAAGAATCCGTCTCGCAGCACTTCCAGACCATCCAACGAAGTAATTAAACGCCGGAATAGCAGGTCTCTCAGCCCATCGAAACCACTTGACAACCTTCTTAGACGTCGAAACAGCCGGTCTCTCAGCCCTGTCGGACCATCCTGCATGGCAGTTCGACGTCGTGAGAGCTGGTCTCTCAGTTCTTCCAAGAAATGGAAGAAAGAAGAAGTAGGTGAGCGCAGCAAGACCTCTTCACAGGGAAGGAAAATAAACATCACCCTCAGGGCAAAACCTGAGTTCAAGATGTCGATCAGAACACCACTGGGAAGTGTAGAGGTATCAGGAGAGGTGGTGGTGGTGGTTGTTCTGTAAGAGAGTGCTCTAGATATCGCAACCATCAGCGTGTAAGACGATCTTCCTCTTCATCTCCTGTCGTGTTGCACAGAGACATGCCGCATCCCACCAGGACACGTCGCAGACTCTCCCATTCTCCCACACCGCAGCTTCAACGATGTTAATCTACGCTGTTACTGTCCTAGACAGTGGTCAATGTTATAATATCAAAGTAGTAAAAAATAGTGAGGGAGAAGGCTATCCAGTTTTTATCTCTACCAATTTTAACCATAAATCACACAAGAGCAGTGTGCCTCGTTGCAACAGCCTGGATACACCTCCCTCGCGATTAAAGTCATATATCTTCGCCTCTCTGGTCTCCGCTTGTCACCAGTTGTCCGAGGTATTGAACGGACGACCAGGAGCTGTTACACTTGTACATTTAGCGAGTTCCATGTAAAACAAAAATAATATAGACCAAGAAAATGCTACTGTCAACACGACCTTTGCCATAGATAAATTAATTTGTTTTTATTTCTTTTTATATTAAAATAAGTCTTTTAAAATGTATATACATATACTGTATATTTATAAACCAATAAAACTCCTAGCAAGCAATACCTTTAAATTAACTGACTGTTGATAAGAGTATTGGTAGTTGTTGGGGCTAACTACCTCACTGTCCAGGCGATGTAAGGCTCTTGGCCCCTCAAGGGAGGTTCCTTGATGCTGGTGAGGGGCTTTTGATTTAGGGGAATTGGATCTGTGCTCCAGTTCCCTGAATTAAGCCTGAATACCTTCCAGTCACCCCCCCCCCACAGGCACTGTGTAATCCTATGGGTTTAGCGCTTCCATATTATAATTAATTTGCCATCAGAATGTCTCGTCAAATGGCCACGTAAATTCCTGTGCTGGACGCAGACTTTTAAGTCAGGTCAGGTCAGGTCAGGTCAGGTCAGGTCAGGTCAGGTCAGGTCAGGTCAGGTCAGGTCAGGTTAGGTCAGGTTTGTTTGGAAACGGGACAAGTTTCCTGACGCGGGTCTTAGTCATATGATGACCAGTAGCTGGAACTTTTGGTTATCTGACAGAGGCCTTCCGCTGGCTTACCCCTCCACCCCTTTAAAAGTTATGGTTGTGATTATAACTATTAAGTTAGCTAAGCAGATAGTTATTTGGCTTTTAAGGTGTGTGTGTGTGTGTGTGTGTGTGTGTGTGTGTGTGTGTGTGTGTGTGTGTTTTTATTGACGAGAGTAGTTAAATTTGACAGTTTCGGAGAGCTCTCACACTGAGGTCCGTGGTTCGATCCCCGGTATGGGTAGAAACATTGGGACGTGTTTCCTTGAAACACACTAAGTTTCTCCAGGTATACACAGTTACACAGATTATCATACATAGCATATGTGTAGAGAACCTAGGATAACACCTACTGTCCATATTCACCTAGCAGTAAAATAGGTATCTGGGTGTTAGTCGACTGGTGTGGGTCGCATCCTGGGGACAAAATTGGCCTAATTTGCCCGAAATGCTCTGCTTAACAAGAGGCTTTCTATATAGTATGTCATTGATGTCAGCTATGGTCTGTATAAGTTGTATCACGTACTTGTAGAAATAATTATTATTAATATTAATTAAGCACATTTTATATTAATGAATAGGACATGTATGCAAAATTTGGATATCTTTGCCAAAAACAATTCGCCTGTGCAGCAGATTTATACCTTCCTCGAATCAAACCTCAATACTTTCCATTACCTAGACGCTGTATAACCCTTGAGAGTTACACAGACGCTGGGTTCGACCTCAGTGTGAACAAGAATGAGAGGCAATTGGGTTTAACCCGAGGAACGGGAGGGTAGTTCAGATACCCTGAATCAAGAGCCCTTCACCTCGCATCAAGGCTCCGGACTTGGAGGATAGTGGTCGAGGAAGTGTGGGAGATGACAGTGTCGTCATTACTGAGCCCAAGATGTTGATACTGTAGCCAGTCTTGCCCCTCGTGTGTGTGTTAGATTGACCAGGGGGAAAGGGTTCAATCTAAGGACCTGGGGGTTCTACCTAAGGACCAGGGGAGTTGAATCTAAGGACCGGGGGAATCAATCTAAGGTCAGTCGAGATGTATGATCGTCTCCATATACCTCTTGCTCTTGGGTCGCCATCTTAGGAAGATGTGACAGTGTACTTTAGGGATGAAGGGGTCACCACGGGGATGAAGGGGTCACCACGGGGATGAAGGGGTCACCACGGGGATGAAGGGGTCACCACGGGGATGAAGGGGTCACCACGGGAATGAAGGGGTCACCACGGGAATGAAGGGGTCACCTCGGGGATGAAGGGGTCACCACGGGGATGAAGGGGTCACCATATGGATGAAGGGGTCACCACAAGACTCATTCTCGTTGACTCGGAAGTGACCAGAGACGTTGAAATAAATCAAGGTTAAAAAAAAAAAAACAGCCTTAGGCCTATCATTGCAGTGGCTGCAGTCTGAAAGTAAAAGATGGGACTGTTGCAGTTGGGCTGTGACCCCCCTGCGGGTTTAGCGCTTAGTTTTGATCGATTTGGCTGTTGCGGTTGGGAAGGTGGTTTGAGGCGTGATGTACTGGGGAGCAGCTATTGACTGAATGATGGCGAGTGTTTCTTTGCTGTGTGTGTGTGTGTGTGTGTGTGTGTGTGTGTGTGTGTGTGTGTGTGTGTGTGTGTTGTGTGTGTGGTGTTGTGTGTGGGGCGCTGTGTATTTCTTGCGGGTGGGGAGAGGGTCATCCTGCCTTGATGGGATCCTCGGATCAAACCTGATTCCTGCTTTGATCCATAGGAAGCTGTAGAATCCCTTCGGGTTTAGCGCTTTCACATTAAAAATTATTATTAACTTTAGACGCACTATCAGTCTTGTGACAGATTATAATAAATCTTGTTTCATGTCGTGCTAAACCCGTATGGTTTATTGAACGTAAGCGAATAGACTCTCTTCCGTCTACTTTTTGATTAGTCAGGTTGTGGGTGTTGCCGGCTTGTGGCCAGTGCTGACCACGTGAGCGCTGCTGACGAGGCTTCGATCTTCACTCATCAGCTCAGTCCTGACACACGTTATTAGTCCTCCTACTGATGTGGTTGCAGGGGTCGAGTCACAGCTCCTGGCCCTGCCTCTTCACTGGTCGCTACTAGATCCACTCTCTCCTGGCTCCACGAGTTTAATCATACCTCCTATGTATGGATCCTGTCTCCACTACATCACTTTCCAGACTGTTCCACTTCCTGACAACTCTGACTGAAGAAATATTTCCTAACATCCTTGTGACTCTCTGAGTTTTTAAATTCCAATGTACCCTTGTTGCTGTGTCCTCTCTGGAACACTTTTCCCCCCTTTTCAATTCCTTCATTATTTTGTGTGTACCCCCTAATTTTAGTTGTAGGGGGGTGTTGGGGTGTGGGAAGGAAAAGAGCGAGGGGGAGCAGAGGGGACGAGGCGAGAGAGAGCGAGAGAGAGCGAGAGAGAGCGAGAGGGGAGCGAGAGAGAGCGAGAGAGAGCGGAGAGGCGAGGAGAGCAAAAAGAGAGAATAATAAATATTTTAAAAAAAGCTTGTTAGAGCATAATAACTATGAATGTTGTAGACTAAGACTTAACTATTGTAGTCCCGGGGGTTGCAAAATAAAAACATTGAGTGGGAACCAATAGGAACCATAGGTGACCTGTCTAGTGCCAGGTAAACGGATCTATAGTGACCCCCTCTAGTGCCCGGGAATCGATTCTATACAGTGACCCGTCTAGTGCCATGTAATCAGTATCTATAATGACCTGTTATGCCAGGGAATCAGAATTAACAGTGACCCCTCTAGTGCCAGGTAATCAGGCACATCATACGTGACTGTTTGTGCCCTTAATAGGTATCATCTTACATGACCCGTCTAGGCCCGGTAATCAGGGATTATCATGACCTGTCTATGCCAGGTAATCAGGGATCATCTATACAGTGACCGTCTAGGCCAGGCAAACAGGTATCATAAGGACTTGGTCTAGTACCCGGTGACGGGATCTAACACACGTCTAGTACCAGACAAACAGGGTTTTATACAGCGACCCGCATACCAGACAAAGGTATCTATACAGGGCCTTCAGTACCCGACAAACAGGGATCTAACAGTGACCCGTCAGTACCAGAAATCAGGGATCTATACGTGACCCGGGCAGTACCAACAATCAGGTATCTATACAGTGACCTGTGTAGTACCAGACAATCAGGTATCTATACAGCGACCTGTCTAGTACCAGACAATCAGGTATCTATACAGCGACCTGTCTAGTACCAGACAATCAGGTATCTATACAGTGACCTGTCCCCTCAAGGAAGGTTCCTTGATGTTGGTGAGGGGCTCTTGATTTAGGGAATTGGATCTGTGCTCCAGTTTCCCGAATTAAGCCTGAATGCCTTCCACATCCCCCCCCCCAGGCGCTGTATAATCCTCCGGGTTTAGCGCTTCCCCTTGATTATAATAATAATAATTGTTGGGATTTTTAACCTCGGAGGGTTAGCCACCCAGGATAACCCAAGAAAATCAGTGCGTCATCGAGGACTGTCTTATTTCCATTGCAGTCCTTTAATCTTGTCCCCCAGGATGCCACCCAAACCAGTCCACTAACACCGAGGTACCTACCTACTTCTAAGTAAACAGGGACAGCAAGTGTAAGTTTCTTAAGGCACAGGTACACATAAGCCCTGTTATCATACATACCTGGAGAGAGTTCCGGGGGTCAACGCCCCCGCGGCCCGGTCCGATACCAGCCGCCCTGTGGATCAGCGCATGATCAAGGCTGTTACTGCTGGCCGCACGCAAACCGACATACTAACCACAACCCGGCTGGTCAGGTACTGACTTTAGGTGTCTGTCCAGCTCCCTCTTGAAGACAGCCAGGGGTCTATTGGTAATCCCCTTTATGTATGCTGGGAGGCAGTTGAACAGTCTTAGGCCCCTGACACTTACTGTGTTGTCTCAGCGTACTCGTGGCCACCCCGCTTTTTCATTCTGCCCAGTTTTAGAGAAAAATCTCCATTTTTCAATGGGGCAATATTCCTCCCATTTTTGAAGAGGGGTAATGACCTCTCTCCAGAGAGGGCTACCCCCTCTCAGAGGGACTTGTGTACCATCTTGCTTCTCCCTCCTGCAACAGCTTCATTAAAACCGTACGAGTACAAGGCGTCACCAGGCACACCCCTCTCCTTACTAGAATTTCTAAGTAAATATCAGTCTTTTGCTTTCCTAGTGTAAATTACCCAGGATAACCCCAGAAAGTCAGTTACTTATTTCCATTTAAGTCCTTGTAATATCATATTTCAACTTCAGAACTTAAAACACCTAAGTAACTTCTACCCGTACCGGGGATCGAACCCCGGACACTTGGTATCAACCATGTTCATGCATAATGGCCGCATAAAATGTACATTATATTCAATTAACTTCACATTGACGTTCTCGATGATGTGTATTTTATGTAAGACTATCGCAGATTTAAGAGGCCAGGGAAGTCTTGATGGTCACGTACAGGAGCTACATAACCCCTATGGGTTTAGCGCTTCTCCCTCCCTTGGTGGGGGTAATGGAAGGTGGGGGGGGGGGGGGTGGAGAAAAGGTTGCTTATGTATCATTTAAGGTCATGGGAAGTATAGCAAGAGAGGTTCAGTGAGGAGTGTGTCGTCTACCGCCTAGCTCTCTTTTCTGAGTATAATACTCCGCGACACACTCGTTAAAGTGCTGGGACCTGCTGAGAGAAACTCGTTAAAGTGCTGGGACCTGCTGAGAGAGTCGTTAAAGTGCTGGGACCTGCTGAGAGAGTCGTTAAAGTGCTGGGACCTGCTGAGAGACTCGTTAAAGTGCTGGGACCTGCTGAGAGAGTCGTTAAAGTGCTGGGACCTGCTGAGAGAGAGACTCGTTAAAGTGCTGGGACCTGCTGAGAGAGACTCGTTAAAGTGCTGGGACCTGCTGAGAGAGTCGTTAAAGTGCTTGGACCTGCTAAGAGAGACTCGTTCAAGTGCTGGGACCTGCCGAGAGACACTCGTTAAAGTGCTGAGAGAAACTCGTTCAAGTGCTGGGACCTGCAGAGAGAGAGACTCGTTAAAGTGCTGGGACCTGCTGAGAGAAACTCGTTAAAATGCTGGGAACTTCCAGGAGACCATGAACACCAGTCATTGAGTAAATTGAATACCATCAGGTAGGAACACTTTTGACTACTGAAATTAGAAATTGAACTTTGTGTATATACGTCTTGAGGGGCATAACCATCTTTATGAATAGGATACATGCACCCAGAGGTGTAGTTGATAGATCTTAAACCTGCATTAATCTGACCAACCTCTGAGTGTATAGACACTGAGAGATATACACCCAGACATACATCTATTGGTGTATAGACAACCTGTGTAGCGTATCAGTGGTTCATTAGTTTGTAATTTGTTCATGACTGTAACCATGTACCTGGAGTGAGTTCCGGGGGTCAACGCCCCCGCGGCCCGGTCTGTGACCAGGCCTCCTGGTGGATCAGAGCCTGATCAACCAGGCTGTTACTGCTGGCTGCACGCAAACCAACGTACGGGCCACAGCCCGGCTGGTCAGGAACCGACTTTAGGTGCTTGTCCAGTGCCAGCTTGAAGACTGTCAGGGGTCTGTTGGTAATCCCCCTTATGTATGCTGGGAGGCAGTTGAACAGTCTCGGGCCCCTGACACTTATTGTATGGTCTCTTAACGTGCTAGTGGCACCCCTGCTTTTCATTGGGGGGATGTTGCATCGTCTGCCAAGTCTTTTGCTTTCGTAGTGAGTGATTTTCGTGTGCAAGTTCGGTACTAGTCCCTCTAGGATTTTCCATGTATAGGAGTGAGGCTGATTCATTACCTTTGTAACTTGCCATGATTGTGACCAGATCTACCTGGAGTTCATTACCTTTGTAACTAGTTCAGCTATCATTACTTTGGGGTCGAGTCCCTGGACCCATTATGTACCTTTGTAATCTTTTGACTACCGCCCACAGGATGGGTATGGGGTGCATAATAAACATATTAAACTAGCGTCTCAGACTGGACAGTGACTGAACCAAGACTGACTCTTGGTGTCGTTCACTTACTAAAGATCCAGCCAGTCACCACTCAGATTAATCCGCATCCAAACATTAATTAAATCTGTGATTACCTGCAAACAAGCATTCATCCCATCCATTAATTTTCAACCCAATGTTGAGGCTGTAACTCTGAATGTTTTCCTACTGAAGTAATATCAGAAAGTGTTCAGCATTTTGCAACGTAATGTTTAGGAAGCCATGTTAAAGTTTGAGCTAGAGAAAATTATTTAAAATGGGGTTATTAACTCAGGATGATCCAAGAAAGCCACTGAAATCTGACTTAATTCCGTTAGGGATTAGCATCTGAAACACTAGGGTTCGATCCCTGGCATGGGTGAAAACGTAGAGCATGTTTCCTTACACCTGTTGGCCCTGTTTACCTAGCAGTAAGTAGGTACCTGGGTGTAAGGTGTCTGTTATGGGGGGAATCTAAGGAACACATTATTATTATTATTATAATCATTGGGGAGCGCTAAACCCGTAGGATTATAGAGCACCTGGGTGGGGGATGGAAGGTATTCAGGCTCAATTCAGGGAACTGGAGCACAGATCCAATTCCCTAGATCAAGAGCCCCTCACCAGCATCAAAGAACCTCCCTTGAGGGGTTCTAAGGAACAGTGGTAATAAGCCAGTCTTGAGTGGCTTTCCTGGGTTACTATCCCTCCGGGTGAACAATCCGACTAAAATAAGCTACTCAACAATTCTACAAAGTAGCTGTTGTAGCACTCTACAGTGTAGTTGTTGTAGCACTCTACAGTGTAGTTGTTGTTGGACTCTACAGTGTAGTTGTTGTAGCACTCTACAGTGTAGTTGTTGTAGCACTCTACAGTGTAGTTGTTGTTGGACTCTACAGTGTAGTTGTTGTTGGACTCTACAGTGTAGTTGTTGTAGCACTCTACAGTGTAGTTGTTGTAGCACTCTACAGTGTAGTTGTTGTTGGACTCTACAGTGTAGTTGTTGTAGCACTCTACAGTGTAGTTGTTGTAGCACTCTACAGTGTAGTTGTTGTAGCACTCTACAGTGTAGTTGTTGTAGCACTCTACAGTGTAGTTGTTGTTGGACTCTACAGTGTAGTTGTTGTTGGACTCTACAGTGTAGTTGTTGTAGCACTCTACAGTGTAGTTGTTGTTGGACTCTACAGTGTAGTTGTTGTAGCACTCTACAGTGTAGTTGTTGTAGCACTACAGTGTAGTTGTTGTAGCACTCTACAGTGTAGTTGTTGTTGGACTCTACAGTGTAGTTGTTGTTGGACTCTACAGTGTAGTTGTTGGACTCTACAGTGTAGTTGTTGTAGCACTCTACGTGTAGTTGTTGTTGGACTCTACAGTGTAGTTGTTGTTGGACTCTACAGTGTAGTTGTTGGACTCTACAGTGTAGTTGTTGTAGCACTCTACAGTGTAGTTGTTGTTGGACTCTACAGTGTAGTTGTTGTAGCACTCTACAGTGTAGTTTTTGTAGCACTCTACAGTGTAGTTGTTGTTGGACTCTACAGTGTAGTTGTTGTAGCACTCTACAGTGTAGTTGTTGTAGCACTCTACAGTGTAGTTGTTGTAGCACTCTACAGTGTAGTTGTTGTAGCACTCTACAGTGTAGTTGTTGTTGGACTCTACAGTGTAGTTGTTGTAGCACTCTACAGTGTAGTTGTTGTAGCACTCTACAGTGTAGTTGTTGTAGCACTCTACAGTGTAGTTGTTGTAGCACTCTACAGTGTAGTTGTTGGACTCTACAGTGTAGTTGTAGCACTCTACAGTGTAGTTGTTGTTGGACTCTACAGTGTAGTTGTTGTAGCACTCTACAGTGTAGTTGTTGTTGGACTCTACAGTGTAGTTGTTGTTGGACTCTACAGTGTAGTTGTTGTTGGACTCTACAGTGTAGTTGTTGTTGGACTCTACAGTTTAGTTTCTGTAGTACACTACAGTGTAGTTGTTGTTGGACTACAGTGTAGTTTCTGTAGTACACTACAGTGTAGTTGTTGTTGGACTCTACAGTGTAGTTGTTGTAGCACTCTACAGTGTAGTTGTTGTAGCACTCTACAGTGTAGTTGTTGTTGGACTCTACAGTGTAGTTGTTGTAGCACTCTACAGTGTAGTTGTTGTTGGACTCTACAGTGTAGTTGTAGCACTCTACAGTGTAGTTGTTGTTGGACTCTACAGTGTAGTTGTTGTTGGACTCTACAGTGTAGTTTCTGTAGTACACTACAGTGTAGTTGTTGTTGGACTCTACAGTGTAGTTGTTGTAGCACTCTACAGTGTAGTTGTTGTAGCACTCTACAGTGTAGTTGTTGTTGGACTCTACAGTGTAGTTGTTGTTGGACTCTACAGTGTAGTTGTTGTAGCACTCTACAGTGTAGTTGTTGTAGCACTCTACAGTGTAGTTGTTGTTGGACTCTACAGTGTAGTTTCTGTAGTACACTACAGGGAAGAATAGATTCAGTTGAGTCGAGAGTCCCTTACCTACATCATGACACTAACCTTAAGGATGAATTTGTATTGTTACACAAGGTTGGGCTAACCTTAGGGGATCCTGAAAGATGGTGTTCAGGGCCCATGTGAAAGTAAAATAGAAGCATGCTTCAGTGTTTCATTGACTTGCAGGGTGACGTGTGAGAGCTGAGTGGCAGTCAGGTAGACCCAAAAGCAAGTCTTTGAATGCAACGGTCATCAACGTGGTGTGAAGAACATTGAACCCAAAATCTACAGTCATCAACGTGGTCTGAAGAACATTGCACCCAGAATCTAGTCATCAACGTGGTCTGAAGAAGACTGCACCCAAAAGCAAGTCTCTGAACACTATAGTCATCTCCATGGTCCAAAGAACAGTCACAAGTCACCAAAAATCAATCGACTTAAACCTAGAAACAGTCGCCAGTATCTTGGTGATGGGAAACTGCTGTGGAATGCATCTCTTCATGAGGTGAGACATTCATGCTTGTACCCTCCATCTACAGATATTTGGTATAAGTGGTAATATAATCCAGAGCTAGCACTGTACACATAAGAGATCATGCAGCACCTGGGGAACTTAAAGTAATCAGATCTGACCCAAGGAAAGGGCAGGTACCTCTTGATTCCCTTGATCAAAATCTCTTACCAGCATCTAGACATTCTGTTCTCCCCCTTGGAGGAATAATGTGCAATTACCTGCATTGCCTTCCATTTTAAATGGCCTCGTTATCAATTTATTATAGTACAATGGTACCCCGAGTTTCGAAATTAATTTGTTCCAGAAGGCTGTTCAAGTGCCGATACTGGACGAATTTGTTCCTATAAGAAATAATGTAAATCAGGTCAGTCAAAATACGCATTCAAAAGCACTTACATAATTGTTCTAGTTGGAGGGGTTCGAAACTCGGGGTACCACTGTATTAGTTTTTCATAATACGTAGAGGGCCTTAGTGCCTTTTCATGGCATGCTCTTTTTATTTTACACCAGGGGATTTTTCAGTCACTTATTAGCTCTGTGTTAGGCTGCAAATATTTATAAAATATTTAGGTCCTTATGACATGACTTTGGTTTTGTAGTCTTATATATAGTATGAGAGTTTATCTGTAATCATCTACAATTAAAAAAAAAAAGTATACTAGCTACAAAATATCAAATGCTATATAAATGAGGATCAAAGATTTTTTATTTCAAATTTGTTAAACTTTTGATAAAGCTCTGCTTAATTTGTAATACAAAAAAATTATATTTTACTATTTTTCTTTGCTATTTTGAGGGTTAGATTATCAATAAATACACTGTATAATGAAGAGAGAGAGAGACTTTTTAAACACTGGCTCCCTCCCACCGAAGTAAGATGACCCCCCTCCACCTCCCCCCCAGAAAAAGAGGAAACACGTTCACTTCTGTTTATTCAATCACGTCTTGCCAGAAGTCTGCTAACATCACAGTTCAGATGGCCCTCTAAAATGTAACATCCTTATAGCTGCTTTAGATTGGAGGCGCTGTACTTCCACCTCTAGGACTCGAGTCCAGCTTACCAATTTCCCTGAATTCACACTCCCAAAGCAGGTCAGTTCATAAAAACCGCTTGTCTCCACTCACTCTGATCTAATGCACTTGGTTGTTTGAGCTCCCTAGCACTCAAAGCCTCCATTATCCCATCCTGGGACAACCTACCTCTCCATCCCTCTGCCTCAGATTTATACACCATCCAAATCATCTTAATGTATTTTGTTCCATCCTCTCTAAATGCCCAAACCACCACCTCAGCTCTGAATTATACTTTTGGTATTATTATTATAATCAAGGGGAAGCGCTAAACCCGGAGGATTATACAGCGCCTGGGTGGGGGGATGTGGAAGGCATTCAGGCTTAATTCGGGGAACTGGAGCACAGATCCAATTCCCTAAATTATACTTTTGGTAGCTCTACACCTCGTTTCTGGTAATATGATATTTAATTCTAATTCTGAAATTATTTTTACAGGTGGCAAAGCAAAACCCACATGAACACCTGGCCTGATAGTGTCTGTAACACACACCTGCTCTGATAGTATATCATCTCCACACAACTGCCCTGATGATGCAGCTTTGCCACATAATGCAGGTGAAGCACATATTTGGAATACCCAAGATTATCAACCAGCTTCAGCAGAAATCTGTATCACCTATAATGTGAGAGACCAGCAGTGGCAACCAAACAATTTGAAAGATAACTCAGACATAGCCAGAAGTCAGTTTCTGAAAGATTCAGATAAAAATTTGGAGAAGAGCATCTTGGTGGAAAGAAGCCTAGAGGAACCCGAGGTCAGTCACTGTTTAGGTTGTGTTTGGGACAGTGTTGATAAAAGAAATATTAGACAAACAGCATGTAACATTAGTTCCGAGCCAATGTGGCAAGAAATAGACATGGAAGAGTCCTTTGATACATATCTGAATGTATCAAGGCTGGAAGCAGGGGATTTCAGACAGGGTGTGCGTGATTTTGCATGTAATATGGATGAGTCATTTTTGAATGACCATGCATTGTCAGTGCCTATTGAGGTAGAGAATAATGTAAAGTCATGGCACAGAGGTCTGGATGACCTGGAAAGGAGATCTGACAAATATTTTTAATACTGTTCAAAATTATAATGATACTCTTTCATTAGAGGAAGGGCCAGGAACATCATTTCTTTTTGGCAATCACTATTTTAATTCTACAGAAAACAGTCATGAGGGTGTCACTGATTACATATCAGGAACAGAGCCCAAATGCCAGGATGAGAGCTCCTGGAAGGTTCCTTTAACATATTTCCTCAAAGTTGGTACACAAGTGGGCTTAAATGTACCACCCTTGTCACACCTGCTGCTGTTAACTAAAGCTTTTCTAATACACGAGAAAATTTAACTTTTCATGGAATAAACTTTGATAATAGATGTCAACAATTGGTTCAGAGAGACATGAGCAAACAATAGAAAACAATTTTGTTCTGGGGGCCTTGATCATGTAAAACATATACATGGATAATAACAACAGTACCTATAGGGAAAAAGTGAAGTTATATATAAGTTTAATAATGTTCCCATTTCAGTAAAATAGGTTAATTATATTATGAAGAAACCTAAACCCAAAGGGGTCATGCAGTGCCTTGGGAATGAGGTGTTAATCCAAGAAAGGCAAAAGTAGCCCAAATTCCTTGGATTAAGAGCTCTTTACCAGCAGCAACACACCCCATTGAAGGACAAACTTCACAAGACACCCACGGATCAGAAATCAAAACTGAACACATTTTTTCAAACAGTCCTGGACAGCTAAGTGATGAGTGAGGATGACAAGAGTGTTGGTTAAAAGTTGCTGAGATAACTGAAGATGTAAAGGTCTGATCACATCATGTGTGTTTGGTATTAATACAGTTTTTTTTTTTTACTACACTATAAGGGCTAATAACCTCATTTTCCTGTATACATTACTAAATATAAAAAAAAAATTTTTTTTTTTTGGGTCACCCCACTTTGGTGGGAAACAGTCGGTGTATTAAAAAAATATATGGATGTCACCCTGCCTCAGTGGGAGATGGCCAACTTGAAAAAAAAAAAAATGTATATAGGAAAACAATATTATTATATATTGATGTAATGCAGCACCTGGGTATCATTTATTTTGAAGATTTCTCATCAACCAGTGGAAAAATCTCTAAACACCTTCAAGACTGATTACCTTATCTTCACTGTCTTGTATATACATTTGTACTAAATTGAAAAAGCCACAAGTTGATGAGATATCTTCTAAATGAAGACACTCATGTGCTGCACATGTGTAATTCACTAAGTATAACAGGCACAATACTGTGACTGGAGCAATACACAAATAACTCTCACATAGTGGAGAGAGAATCTTTTCACTCTCATGTTCTGGTTATTTGTTTAAGTATAACATATCATAGGTATATTATTTCACAGAGTGCCAAATCGACGTTGTCATTCATTATTGGTGTGCACTCAGTGTTTTGCCATACAGTTAACTATTAGGAAGTGTCTTAAACTGTTCAGTAAAATATCATTCATTGTTAAAAAACCTTTATTAGCAACTTAATATTAGTAGTGAAGGGCAGTTTCCCTTATTTAGTAGAGGACCATTATATAAACTGCCTTGTCTATGCAGGCTTCACTATTAAACTGTTTGAAGGAAGTAGATTTGTCAGGTCATCACTAGAACAGACATGTTGAAAAGTCATCCAATCATTTTACCATCTTGTTTATTTCATCTTCAAACTATGCACACCAGTACATTTAGGAATTGGAATTGGTAAAATGTTTTACAATAATAAGTCACATGCAGGCAATGAATATCTGATCAAAATAAATATATACATTGTGTGCATAATACAATATTTTGTTAATCTGAAGGTTACAGGAAAGACTTTCAAAATGCATTTGTGTTTCAATGACACTTTCACCATGATTTATAAAAACATTAAAACTCTCATACAGACTATAAGACAGAAGTCATGGGGAGATGTACCATTTTGTCCTACTACATGAAGGGTTTGTGCTGTATGACCCTTGTAGGTTTAGCACTTCTTTTTTATTATAATAATAATATATGAAGGCTGAAGTCAAAATTGACCCAGGTACACAGTAGTCAAGAATATAATAAAACTCAAACAAAGGAGTTATTGTGGTATAATCATTAAGTTCCTTAATATATAAATTCAAATTCTTCAATATAACTTATAAGTAGAGCATGGGGATAATTTTAAAATCAATTATGTTTAGTAAATAAATTTTAATTTCAAAATATCTTAAAGTTGAAAAAGAGGGCTTAGGTAATACCTGTAGAGGTTTTCAGGGGCCTGGTTTGTCACCATACCTTGTGGATCTGAGCTTGATCAATCAGTCTTGAATTGATATAGTATAAGCCACAGCAAGAGTCCTGTATGATAGACCTCTGTGCTCATGTACAGTAAGGGACCTGCATATACAGCACCTCTTTTTCAGTGTTCCACACTATTGTTGGCTTTCAACTGAGCCATTGTTTACTATATTCGGTGCTTTTACCGCCGCTCCGAGCATTTTCATACAACGGTTGCCTAAGGGACAGATGACGGCGTTGTATGAACAGGGGGGCCTCCTGTATTCTAATTGAGCTTCCAATGTATGTAACATTTAATCTAGTGTATTCATTAGAAAAGAGGCGACAACAGGATCCTTATATTTAAAATAATTCCCGATGGTTAAAGATTAGTAAATATGAATCTGAGGATAATTTTGCAACCATTTCATTTTCCTCATATTATTGTATAACTAAGTTCCAATATTAGGAAACCAGGTTTGAAATAGTTATAAAATTACCCTTGAATTCACATTTGTATTATGTCATCTCTCTGCTCTATTAATTATTTACTAATAAACATATTCTCGATATACTGGAAGCTCGATTATAAACTTGTATAGGCACATCATGCAAGACTTGTTAAATTAGCTGAGCTCTGTTTTTCAACTGTAAGGTAAGTCAGTTTTGGCTCAACCCTCCATAGGGTAACAGTAATTAGTATGTCTTGCTTTATTTACTGTACAAAATGTTCACGACTATCTTTTATAAGTGCTGTAATGAAGATATGTGATTCAGAAAATGAACAAGTTGAAAAGTTAGACATGTGCAACATTTGGGTATCTTTATTGTGGAAAAGCTTTGCTTCATCAGTCCAATACAAAGAAGATCAAGAATTTGAGATAATCAGTCCCTTAGCCTGGAGTCAACTCCAGGCTGAGGGACTGATTACCTCAAAGTTCTGATCTTCACTGTTCTTTGTATTGGTCTGATGAAGCCTGTGTGTGTGTCAAGACACCCAACTGTTGGACGTTTTTTTACAGCTCCTGATGGTAATACATTTCACCAAAATAATAATAAATGCATTTTACAAGCAAGTCTTTCCTGCTGCCCTTGTATATCACACTGAAACATTAATATTTTTTTCTAATTGCTCAATAAGTGTCAGATTAAGACTTGCTTTATTTAATGGGCAGTACCACATTGCCATTACTCTCAGTGAACACTGACCACTGTAAAGAGAGTGTGATACAAATATTATAACGTGAGGTACCAGTGTATGAAAGTAACGAGTAGTTAACTTTTAGCAGATGTAATATTTATTCTAGTGACAATACGTATTAGTTTTAAGAATTGCTTTTTCTCGTGTAAAATCTTTATTACAAAATTTTTTCCTTTGATTTTTTTTTGTCATGAAACTAATTTCAAAATTACTTTTCAGGGGTTTTAAGGGACTAATAATTATCAAAATCAAGCACTAAACCCACTAGGGTAAGGGACTGACAAAACTTAGCACCTGTATTGAACTGCAGGAAAAGGCATGATGATGCTCAGTGACATTAAAATATTTCCCTTGGTATATCCATAATATATTTAACTTCTAAACTTAGTTATGGTCCCAGATTCAGGCATCACTGCCATAGTGAATGACCATTTAGCGAGACAGCATGCAATGAAAGTCTTTCTCAGGCCTATGGCTTCTCCCTTCAGCCATCGTTAATTACATTTTTACACATCTGTGCCACTTACCATATCTATTTTCTCCCTTAAAGTACAGCCTTATCTTTTTATTATGCTTTATCAGAAATGCAGGAAAATAACATGATGAGGGTGGCAAGTTACTCAGCATTGCGTGGCACCATGCATGTCATTTGAATGATTTTCTTCATGGCCTTTGGTATGTCTTCCGATGTTTTAGTTTTTGGTGTACCACCGAGCAGCTCCTTGCACTCCTGTTTACCTTGAGTTATGTCACTAGCCGCAATAATCAAGTCGTAGGCAATTCCATCACTCACCACAGAATCCTGTCTGCAAAGTATGAATAAAATAGTTATGCTTGTTTTATAGATATATTGGTACAATGCCTCCTAACAAAAATTTTTTTTTAAATTATTCAGGGATTAGTACTTATCAGAAGGGACTAACACTGACAAATACATCTTATTTTGGAATTTATGCCCTTGAATTTTTAGATATGATTTTTCAACCCTTAACGGTCCAAACAAATCAGCGTTCAAATTCGTAGTGTTACAAAAGTAGATCTACTTTCTTTTACATATTTTCAAATGTAGATAAAAGTTTTTTTTACACGTTTTCAAGTGTAAAACAAAAAAAAAAGATTTACATTTTTTTATATACTTTCAGGTGTTGAAAAAACGTATATATATGTTTGGACCATTTAAGGGTTAAGAAGCCAGACAATTTTTGTTTATTAAGATTTATTTATACAATTAACTGGTTATACATCCCCCCATAATTAGTTTAATGCAGGAGACTTGAACCCACATCCTATGACAAGGAAGCAGTGACAGAGGGTATCTTCCATAGAGGTTGCTGTTCTTATATGTATGAAATAATTCTTCACAGTAAATACCTTTGTCAGTTAAGGGATCCTGCTTCCAGGAACCTAAGCTCCACTCCTCTTCCTTGAATTAAACCTAAACTCAGTCTTCTTAAAACAAACTGTACAAAAAAAATCCCATCATGGGGGGTGCTTTTATATTAGTAATGGTATTCATCCAGAGAACTGGAGATAGACTCCCATTCTTTGTATCAAACCTGTTTACCTCTCATTCCCCAGGAGCTATCTGATCCCTATAGGTCATACACTGAACTCAGAGACATCTTACATATATATAGCACTCTGAATGTAGATCTACATTCGATTTTACATGCTTTCTTATGTAAAAAAAAATAGACCTACATTTGGACAGTTTAAGGGTTAAAGCAGCATTATTATAATCATTGCTAAATCCACAAGGGTCATACAGTGCTCATTAATATTATTAAAGTGTGTGTATTTATGGGATTTTGAATGGCTTCAGTTAATCCCTCTCCTCCATTCCTTGCTACTGCACGGCTGGAATCATTAACCGTGTTTGACTCACGAAACTGTAATGACACAATTGCCGCAAGTTCAAACCCCCACCTGTACAGTGGTTTGTTAACTGTATTTACTTGTATTCTGGATGTGATGTAATGAAGTTCCTTATCCAGGCAGCGGTGGTCATTGCCGTTCCAGCAGCTCGTGCACTAATGAAGTTTAAATATTGACCAACAGTGCAAGCTGTGTCGGCGTCCATATCCAGGGCTCCCAGGTACTGCCGGACCAGTGGAATTAACCCCACAAACTCTTCTCCCTGTAATACACAATGAATAGTATGATTGAGGTGATAGACATAGTCATCCTGAAATAATGTGATCAGAGATGTGGGAGAAAAACATTATTAAACACTTTTGCCTATTCACCTCAATAGGTTGACCCAAAAACAAAGAAACACATTCACCATCATTCATTTAATCACTGTCTTGCCAGAAGTGTGCTGACAACACATTTCAGATAACCCTCTGAATTGCAACATCCCCACCCCTCCTTCAGAGTGCAGGCACTCTGAAGGCAAATGGTTTTTGGGACTTGACAAGCTGTTGGAATGTGAGCAAGGTAACATTTTGTGAAGGAATTCAGGGAAACTAGTTACCTGGACTTGAGTCCTGGAGGTAGAAAGTAAAGTGCCTACACCCTGAAGGAGGGGCAGAGATATTTGCATTTTTGAAGGGCATCTTAACTGTAGTATCTACATGCCTCTGGAATGACATTAATACAGCAAATGATGGTGAAAGTGTTTCTTTTTCAGCGAGACTCGACCAGTGTGAGCAAAAAAAAAAAAATCTTTCACTTTCACAAGGAAAACCAAAATAAAAGCTCAGCAGTTCTTACCTTTCCATTAATAATTTCACTGACAGTCATCTGACATGCGTCGTCGCCTTTATCACAGTCTCGAGAAAAAATTTCCCGCCTGAACCATAGCTTCTGATCCAATACAGCATTTTTCTTCTGGCAGTTCTTCATATTTTCATCGACCTAAGGAAAAGCTCTTTTTTTTTTATGTATACAAAATGTATTAAAGCCTCTCCTCGCTTAATAATGGAGTTCCATTCCTAAGATCGTGTCGGTAAATGAACTTGTCGCTAAGTGAGGAGCATACTATAATGGTAGTGGGTCTGTGTCAGCCATCTTTGATATTAAAACAATATCACCTTTGAACCATTTATAACATATCTGGTATATTTTTAAATGTTTATACAGTATTATACTGTAATAAAATCAGCTCTGATATATATCACTTAGGTATGCATACTGGTCAGGGAGCCCGTTGTAAGTGAGTACGTCGCTATATTCATTATTTCCCTACACTGCACACATCCCATCAAGGCCTGGTCACAGACTGGGCCATGGGGGCACTGACCCCTGAAACCCTCTCCAGGTATCCCATTTTCATGGGGTGGTAATTAAGGCATTCACTCAAAAATGAAAAACAAGATGAACTATGGGTCAAGAAAACAATAGAATAATACATATGACTATAGTTAACTGCATAAGAAATCCTGCTTAATAGTCTACTTAATGTTTAAACAATCTTTAAGCATTAGGATTAGTCTGCCAGAAATACATTGCATACTAGTAGTTTTCTTGTGCCTACAAATATTTTATTTCCTAGATAGTAGTTTGGTAGACAGCAACCACCCTGGGAGGTACTACTGTCCTGCCAAGTGAGTAAAACGAACCTGTAATTGTTTTACGTGATGGTAGGATTGCTGGTGTTCTTTTTTCTGTCTCATAAACATTCAAGATTTCAGGTACGTCTTGCTACTTCTACTTACACTTAGGCCACACTACACATACAAGCATATATATACACACACCTCTCTGGGTTTTCTGCTATTTTCTTTCTAGTTCTTGTTCTTGTTTATTTCCTCTTCTCCATGGGGAAGTGGAACAGAATTCTTCCTCCTTAAGCCATACGTGTTGTAAGAGGCGACTAAAATGCCAGGAGCAAGGGGCTAGTAACCCCTTCTCCTGTAAAAATTACTAAATTTGAAAAGAGAAACTTTTGTTTTTCTTTTTGGGCCACCCTGCCTCAGTGGGATATGGCCGGTTTGTTGAAAAAACAAAAATATTTTATTTAATTTAAACTACATTGTACCACAAAGAAATAAAAATTTGTATTTGCATTATTATTATAATCAGGGGGAACACTAAACCCATAGGGATTATACAGTGCCTGTGGGGGGGGGAAGGTATTCAGGGAATTGGAACAAAGATCCAATTCCCTAGATCATGAACCCCTCACCAGCATCAAGAAACCTCCCTTGAGGGGTTTTCATTTGCAATGTTTAACTTTTGACAATGAAAAGAGGCAAATACATACACTACAAAATACAAGTCTCTCAGCACATATATACCAAGAAGTGCAAGTCTCTCAGTACATTAGGCATCAAAATGTATGTCTCAAACGTATGCACACCAAGCGGTATGTGTCTCAGAATATGCACCGAGAGGTTTGTAGGTGCTTGTGGTTTAGCTGGTAGTATCCTCAGCTCTCACACAGTGCGTTCGGGATCAATCCCTGGCACGGGTGAAACACTGAGCATGTTTCCCTACACATGCTGCCCCTGTTCACCTAGCAGAATGTAGGTACCTGGGATTGCATCCTGAGGGACCAAATTAACTTAGGTTGCCCAAAAGTTCTGCATAACAGGGATTTTTTTATATAGTGTGTCAGCTAACTATATCACCTGTAGAAATAAATATTATTTACTGTAAATACCAAAATGTGTACGTCTCAGTGACTACTCAATAGTACACTTTAATAATTATTTTAGTGTACTGTACATTATTAACTGGTGATGTACAGGTTAAATGACCATGTATTATATAGGCTTTAGGCCCACAAATTAATAAACCTTATGAAAACCTTACTAAATGCCAACTCTCTAACAACTTCTACTTCATTATAAAATGTGCAAATTATACTACTGGTATTTACAGCGACTATAGTTGCATAAAAAAAATCTGAACATCTTTAATGAAACATTTACCTTTGAAATAGGTATTAACATATTGAGTTTAAAAGTAAGTATTGCACGAGTTAGCAGTACGATGAACACTCCAAACGCAGCATTTTCAAAATCGGTCAGCTGAACCTCACATGGTCGGAACTCCACCCTCCACCCGATGTTACTGTTAACTGGCGGCAATTTGAATCTCATTGTCTGCCAATTGGTGCTCTGAATATTCTGCATAGAGAGAAAAGTAGGTTTTTAGTTTTGCATTCTGTGTGCAACTGCGTTACCTCAGTAATTAGAGATAAAAGTATAAACGATGTCCCTTGCTGTGTACAGTCGATGCTTTAACAGCTGGGCCATTAATAGTCGCTTTCTAATTACACACAAAAAAATACTATAACACCAGGTCTTACGCTTATAAGCAAGAAATGTCTTAAATCTTCAAAAAAATACAAGTTGAAGATTGAGACACTTATGCAACATATGGGAATCTTTATTGAAGAAACGTTTTGCCACACAGTGGCTTCATCAGTCCAATACAAAGCAGAAAGGTGTAAGGAGAGGAGGAGTTTGAGGTAATCAGTCCCTCAGCCTGGAATCGATGTGTTCAGTCCATCAGTCTTGTAGAAAGTACAGCATAGGGCTGCAGAAGTGCCTTATATACTGTAGTCAGGCGAGTCGAAGCAAGAGGAGGCAGGATCACAGTGGAACCATCCACTAGTGTAAGTAGGTCTTTGTCCAAAGGTTGGGCAAGTGTTGAAGAATTCCTTGTATCAAGATCTTTTCCTTACACCTTTCTGCTTTATACTGGACTGATGAAGCCACTGTGTGGTGAAACGTTTCTTCAGTAAAAATTGCCCTATGTTGCATAAGTGTCTCAATATTCAACTTGTTGGTTTTAAACCATTAATCACATCTGTCAAGACACTGCAACATCATGAGATCTTGATACAAGGAATTCTTCAACACTTGTCCAACCTTTGGACAAAGACCTACTTACACTAGGAGATGGTTCCACTGTGATCCTGCTTCAACTCACCTGACAATGGTATATAAGCCACTGCTATGGCTCTATGCTGTACTTTCTACAAGATTGATGGACTGAACACATTGATTCCATGCTAAGGGACTGATTACCTCAAATTACTCCTTTCCTTACACCTTACTGGATTGATGAAGCCACTGTGTGGTGGAATGCTTCTTCAATAAAGATTCCCATATGGTGCATGTGCCTCAATCTTCAAAAAATATATCCTAGCCATAACTAGAAGAATATACTACACGTGCTCATGATGGGAGTTTTACCTCAAAGTGGTCCATCTCTCTCATGTCATCTTGATAAATCCTCTCAGAGAAGAGGGAGATGGAGTCCCGAATGAAGAGGTGAGCTATATGTTGAGCCATGTACTCGTCCACTTTACTATCAACAAGTTTCTGCTGGATATCCTTATCATACACTAGAGGAATATCATTATACCTGTCCAAAGAAACACTATAATTATAAATAAAATTGGAGTGATCATCAAAATCAATGTATCAAGCAATGAACATAAAAATGTTGCAAATTACCATACTGTGTATGAAATTTTATCTTGTAAAATAAACCATTTAAAAAAAGATATACACTTTAGCTTTTCCCAGAAACACAAGTAACTTTTTTTTTTTTTTTTCAAAATTTGTAAACAAGACAAGATGGCTTTTATTTAAATTCAACTATACAAATACAGATAATTTATTTCTTTTCTGCAGTATATAGGTAATATAATTTAGATTAATAAAACAAAGCACAAAAGAAAGCCACTGGTATGTGTTGCATTTTTGGCAGTTAATTATGACTATCCCTTTAAGTGATTCACAGTCATGTTGAATTAGAATCTTTATAATATGCTTTCCAGCCAGAGTTTGCAGCTGTTGCACATAAAGCAACAATTGTGTTTGCCTCACAAGCAGAGTGCAAATTCATTGCTGCCATAATGCCACAAAAATCAATGTGAACATCACAATGTCTGTATTAATATTTTTTAAAATACCTGCTGTCCCCCACTAATGTAGGGCTACCCAGTAAAAGTAAACACATTCACCATCATTCATTAAATGGCTGTCTTGCCAGCTGTGCACATATATCACAATTCAAATGACACGGAAGACAATGGCAACAGCCGACACGTGGAAATAAACATACTGGTAGCCCAGCCTTGGACAACATTTTTATTAAAAACGATTATTTGCTACCAACATCTATCATGCCACCTCCAGTAGCCATCCAAACTGCAGCATCCCCATCCCTCTTAATATGTTTTATTGTAAGATCATTTGAACAATTGTACCTGCGCACCTCTAGCAAGACAGTGATAGTGTAAATGATGGTAAAAGCATTCCTTTTTCAGGTCCCCTTGCCTTGGTGGAAGACAGCCAGTGTGTTATAAAAATATACATTACTCGACCATCATAACCAAATTATCCATAGCATTAAGTCAAGCTAGGTTGAAATACCGTATACATACTAATTATCTTTGGTGCAAAATTAAGTTAATTCACAATTATTTCTGTCAATGCATAAACAGAAAATCTGCAGTATTTACTTTTTAGAATAATTCAACTTCATTGTGCCTAAAAACTGAGCATGTTGATATTAGTACACTAAAATAGATTTAATCCAGTTTTGTGTATTCCCCATTGACGATATATACAAAAATTCTGTTGCACTTCCTCATTAATCTCCAAAAAGAGGAAGACATTCTTGTATATTAATGAACATAGTGATTCTGTCCTTCCTTGATTCCTGAATATAAATTTAAACATTTTTCATCTTCAACTTCTTGTACATTAAAAAAAAAAAAAATCATTAACCTATGTCTAGCTTTTAAGTAGCATATAAGCATTATTATTAGTCTGCCTGCAATGCACTGCATGCTAGTAGCTTTCTTTGCGCTTAACAATATTTCATGACAGACTACGTTTTGTATACTGCAGAAAAGAAATAAAGTTGCATTGTATAAAGGTAAGAGCAGTTCTCGACTTTTATTCCTAAGTCAGTCTTTTATTTCCTTTGATTTATAGATAAATAGAGTAGCAAAATTTCCCTAGCCTGTAACATGCAAACAAGGTTAAGTCTTCTTCAAAAAATGCTTCTCTTCTCCAAACTATAACATCTTAACCTCAGTTAAAGAATCAACGAAACTACAATTACAATAATAATAATATTTTCATATAGTTATTTTCATATAGTCGGACTTGAGTCCTGGAAATGGGAAGTACAATGCCTGCACTTTAAAGGAGGGGTTTGGGATATTGGCAGTTTGGAGGGATATGTTGTGTATCTTTATACGTATATGCTTCTAAACTGTTGTATCCTGAGCACCTCTGCAAAAGCAGTGATAATGTGTGAGTGTGGTGAAAGTGTTGAATGATGATGAAAGCATTTTCTTTTTGGGGATTTTCTTTCTTTTTTGGGTCACCCTGCCTCGGTGGGAGACGACCGACTTGTTGAAAAAAAAAAATTATTATTATTACATTTCAGCATGATACAGTGTTTGTACAGAGATGGACAACATTTTAGTTGTGAATGCAGAAAGCCCATAGTTATGCAGAGCATTTCAGGCAAACTTAAGACTATATCACAAAATAATTGCTTATATTTAAGGACATTAAGGGTATATAAACAATAAATTTAGGAATTACAAGAACAAACAAGCAGACCTACCTGGAACCACATTCCGAGAGGTAGCAGTCCACCGAGTCATACCGAGACTTTGGTATCACAAATCTGTCGTTCCTAAGTGGCTCTAAGCCTCGTTCCTCCCGGGTGCGACAGTCGACCGAGGCAGATATGACATCCCATCTGCAGTCCACATCTGTCAGGTAACCACGGTAAACTGGCGAGGCAGCAGTGAGAGCAAGCTGTGGAGGTTAACACTACAGTTGTAACAACAATAATAATAATTTTATTTCTGCATGGTACAATGTTCGCACAGAGATGGGCGACATTTAGTTCTGCATGCAGAAAGCCCATAGTTATGCAGCGGCATGGCAACAGAGAAGCTGTATCAGTGCTCAGAGTAATGACCTTTGCAGAAAAATTGTATCTCAACACCTATTTAAGAGCTCACACTGGAGATACACCATCCAAACCAGACCTCTACCCACCTGCTCACCTAGACACTTAATCCCCAGATACCCACCAACTTGCCTACTCATCAACCCAGGTGCACATCCACGGACTTGCCTGGTCAAATGCTCAGGGACCAAGACTCCCACTACTTTGATTATTGGTTTGATTTAATTACCCTTCCTCTTCACAGTCATATTTGGCAAAAAATATAAGAAAACTGTATACTATGTGTGGTAAAGCCAAGAAGCTAACACAAAATTGAAATGACATGATTGCAAACAAACCATACCACGGGCGGGGCTTGAGCTCACGGTTAGTCGTAAAACTCCAGACCAATGCGTTAGCCACTGGGCCAGCTGACTACAATAAGATTTATCCAACTAGGTATATTTGTAGTCACAGTGGTGCCTATGCTAGCCTTCCTATGGTGTATAAATATACCTAGTTTGACGAATCTTATTGAAGCCAACTGGCCCAGTGGCTATTGCGTTGGTCAGGAGTTTCGCGACTCTCTAACTGTGTGTTCAAGCCCCGCCCACGGCATGGTAGGTTAGTTATTGCCTTGTTAGTGTCAAGATAGGCTCAAGTTTGCCTGAAATGCTCTGCATGCACACCTAAATGTCACCCATCTCTGTATGAAATTGCACCATGCTGAGATAAAGAAACTTTAATCCTTAAGTTCAGAGGCTCTAAGGTTAATTCACAAAAAAACTTAAATTTGTACAGCTCACCATAACAGGACAGAGTGGTGTTAGATGATCATAGAGGACCTTGGCTTCATTGATATTACATGCCTGGAAGGTCATCTGTAGGCACGAGCATCCCATACCAAATCCCATTGCATCCATATACACATGGTCCTCCTTTGCAGCAGCTGCTGAACTACCATCATCACCATATTTTGACAAATCTTCGACAAATGGTCTTGGAGTTTTAAGGTCTATAAATACTGAAATTTTAAGGAAATTACATTAGATACAATAAAAAAATAAAAATTTTATTCCTTTGCTAAGGTTACAATAAAACCTGCATCAATACACATCATTAAACATTAAATTTCATTTACAAAAGTTTCTGTAAATGAAATTTACAAAAGAATCAGACACATGTGCAACATCTAGAAATCTATTCATAGATGTTTTGTCATCCACTGGCTCTATCAATACAAATTCAAGAACATAATATGAAGACTGTAGAACTATACACAAAAGACAAGGTAATCAGTCCCTGGATGGCAAAAGTCTGCAAATAGAGATTCCCAGATGTTTCACATGTGCTTAATTCTTCACAAAAAGTTTTTGAGGTATAGTATTAGTAATTAGGTGGCTCTCCTGCAATACTCTGCATACCTATGAGCTTTCAACATACAGTGGTACCTCGGGATACGAACAGCTCAAAATGCAAACAATTATGTAAGTGTATTTATCTAAGTGCTTTTGTAAGTGTATTTTTGTGGGTCTGAAACGGATTAATCTTACTTACATTATTTCTTATGGGGACAAATTTGTTCGGTATCAGCACTCGAACAGCCTTCTGGAACAAAAAAAGTTCATATCCCGAGGTACCACTGTACTCTCAAGTGTCTCCCATTTCTGTATAAATAATGTAACATGTCAAAATAAGATTGTGTTGTATCATATGAGATCAGTACTGTATATAAAACATATTTCTAACTTTAGATTATCTATTAACTGCATGTTTTAAAGCTTAAGGATATGAACGAAGCGCTGGAAAAAGACAAGGTTAAAAATCAGGGAAGATGAAAGTAATTACTGGAAGAGTTAGAGGTGGTGTGTGGAAATAAACCAACCTAATATACAGTATTTTTGTCCTTGGAGATCCTATTCCATTGAAAAAGTCACTAAGTGGAGTAAAAGACACATGCAGAACAACATTTCAGTCCAGAATGGTTGAAACATCATGAGGTTCCTCATTTAAATGCAGATTTTTTGGTGAAAAACTTTTAATGTGGCAACTGGGTCAAACCTGACTGCCTCCCCATTTACCATGTATAACACTTACACTCTTACAGGTTTAACACTTCTCCTTAATTACAATCATTATGGCAATATTCTGCTGTGTGTAAAGCCTTATCAAGACAACACTCAGGGAAAAACAATGTCTGAATAAAAGCTCATTCTGCGCAGATGTGCCAGCCTGCTGGAATGGCGTCCTTGTGTCCTGGATCCCTGATATCGAAATACAGCTTCTCCTCACTTAGCAACGTACTCGTTTACTGATGCCTCGGACTTACGACAGGCTCCCTGACCAGTATGCATACCTAAATAATGTATATTAGAGCTGATTTCCTGTATTCTGTCTATTACAATATACAGTACACTACTGTATAAACATTTAAAAATATACCAGAAAAGTTATAAATGGTGCAAAGGTGACATTAAAACAATATCAAAGATAGCCGACACAAAGCCACTACCATTATAGTATGCTCCTCACTTAGTGACGAATTTGTTTACCAACGTGGTCTTAGGAATGGAACTCCATCATTGAGGAGAGGCTGTATTCTGATAATTTCCATTGTCTTATTTTATCTTTCATGTTGGATTCACCTTTTAGAAATATTTAAGCAGTAAAACCTCATCTTAATGGGTTTTTGGATTTCACAAACAAAATCTAAACAATGGACAAAGTCCACTGTTTCCAGACTTGTCTGCTATTGTTATAATTTCCTAGGAAAATTTATTTCATATGTTATACACATTTGAGAATGAAACTTATGACAACATTTTGGTTCGAATTGGACCATTAACAATTTTTTTTTTTTATTATCACACTGGCCGATTCCCACCAAGGCAGGGTGGCCCAAAAAAGAAAAACTTTCACCATCATTCACTCCATCACTGTCTTGCCAGAAGGGTGCTTTACACTACAGTTTTTAAACTGCAACATTAACACCCCTCCTTCAGAGTGCAGGCACTGTACTTCCCATCTCCAGGACTCAAGTCCGGCCTGCCGGTTTCCCTGAACCCTTTCATAAATGTTACTTTGCTCACACTCCAACAGCACGTCAAGTATTAAAAACCATTTGTCTCCATTCACTCCTATCAAACACTCTCACGAATGCCTGCTGGAAGTCCAAGCCCCTCGCACACAAAACCTCCTTTACCCCCTCCCTCCAACCTTTCCTAGGTCGACCCCTACCCCGTCTTCCTTCCACTACAGACTGATACACTCTTGAAGTCACTCTGTTTTGCTCCATTCTCTCTACATGTCCGAACCACCTCAACAACCCTTCCTCAGCCCTCTGGACAACAGTTTTGGTAATCCCGCACCTCCTCCAAACTACGAATTCTCTGCATTATATTCACACCACACATTGCCCTCAGACATGACTTCTCCACTGCCTCCAGCCTTCTCCTGCTGCAACATTCATCACCCATGCTTCACACCCATATAAGAGCGTTGGGAAAACTATACTCTCATACATTCCCCTCTTTGCCTCCAAGGACAAAGTTCTTTGTCTCCACAGACTCCTAAGTGCACCACTCACCCTTTTCCCCTCATCAATTCTATGATTCACCTCATCTTTCATAGACCCATCCGCTGACACTTCCACTCCCAAATATCTGAATACATTCACCTCCTCCATACTCTCTCCCTCCAATCTGATATCCAATCTTTCATCACCTAATCTTTTTGTTATCCTCATAACCTTACTCTTCCTGTATTTACTTTTAATTTTCTTCTTTGCACACCCTACCAAATTCATCACCAATCTCTGCAACTTCTCTTCAGAATCTCCCAAGAGCACAGTGTCATCAGCAAAGAGCAACTGTGACAACTCCCACTTTGTGTGTGATTTCTTTATCTTTTAACTCCACACCTCTTGCCAAGACCCTCGCATTTACTTCTCTTACAACCCCATCTATAAATATATTAAACAACCACGGTGACATCACACATCCTTGTCTAAGGCCTACTTTTACTGGAAATAATTTCCCTCTTTCCTACATACTCTAACTTGAGCCTCACTATCCTCTAAAAACTCTTCACTGCTTTCAGTAACCTACCTCCTACACCATACACCTGCAACATCTGCCACATTGCCCCCTATCCACCCTGTCATACGCCTTTTCCAAATCCATAAATGCCACAAAGACCTCTTTAGCCTTATCTAAATACTGTTCACTTATATGTTTCACTGTAAACACCTGGTCCACACACCCCCTACCTTTCCTAAAGCCTCCTTGTTCATCTGCTATCCTATTCTCAGTCTTACTCTTAATTCTTTCAATAATAACTCTACCATACACTTTACCAGGTATACTCAACAGACTTATCCCCCTATAATTTTTGCACTCTCTTTAATCCCCTTTGCCTTTATACAAAGGAACTATGCATGCTCTCTGCCAATCCCTAGGTACCTTACCCTCTTCCATACATTTATTAAATAATTGCACCAACCACTCCAAAACTATATCCCCACCTGTTTTTAACATTTCTATCTTTATCCCATCAATCCCGGCTGCCGTACCCCCTTTCATTTTACCTACTGCCTCACGAACTTTCCCCACACTCACAACTGGCTCTTCCTCACTCCTACAAGATGTTATTCCTCCTTGCCCTATACACGAAATCACAGCTTCCCTATCTTCATCAACATTTAACAATTCCTCAAAATATTCCCTCCATCTTCCCAATACCTCTAACTCTCCATTTAATAACTCTCCTCTCCTATTTTTAACTGACAAATCCATTTCTCTAGGCTTCCTTAACTTGTTAATCTCACTCCAAAACTTTTTCTTATTTTCAACAAAATTTGTTGATAACATCTCACCCACTCTCTCATTTGCTCTCTTTTTACATTGCTTCACCACTCTCTTAACCTCTCTCTTTTCTCCATATACTCTTCCCTCCTTGCATCACTTCTACTTTGCAAAAACTTCTCATATGCTAACTTTTTCTCCCTTACTACTCTCTTTACATCATCATTCCACCAATCGCTCCTCTTCCCTCCTGCACCCACTTTCCTGTAACCACAAACTTCTGCTGAACACTCTAACACCACATTTTTAAACCTACCCCATACCTCTTTGACCCCATTTCCTATGCTCTCATTAGCCCATCTATCCTCCAATAGCTGTTTATATCTTACCCTAACTGCCTCCTCTTTTAGTTTATAAACCTTCACCTCTCTCTTCCCTGATGCTTCTATTCTCCTTGTATCCCATCTACCTTTTACTCTCAGTGTAGCTACAACTAGAAAGTGATCTGATATATCTGTGGCCCCTCTATAAACATGTACATCCTGAAGTCTACTCAACAGTCTTTTATCTACCAATACATAATCCAACAAACTACTGTCATTTTGCCCTACATCATATCCTGTATACTTATTTATCCTCTTTTTCTTAAAATATGTATTACCTATAACTAAACCCCTTTCTATACAAAGTTCAATCAAAGGGCTCCCATTATCATTTACACCTGGCACCCCAAACTTACCTACCACACCCTCTCTAAAAGTTTCTCCTACTTTAGCATTCAGATCCCCTACCACAATGACTCTCTCACTTGGTTCAAAGGCTCCTATACATTCACTTAACATCTCCCAAAATCTCTCTCTCTCCTCTACATTCCTCTCTTCTCCAGGTGCATACACGCTTATTATGACCCACTTTTCGCATCCAACCTTTACTTTAATCCACATAATTCTTGAATTTACACATTCATATTCTCTTTTCTCCTTCCATAACTGATCCTTCAACATTACTGCTACCCCTTCCTTTGCTCTAACTCTCTCAGATACTCCAGATTTAATCCCATTTATTTCCCCCCACCGAAACTCCCCTACCCCCTTCAGCTTTGTTTCGCTTAGGGCCAGGACATCCAACTTCTTTTCATTCATAACATCAGCAATCATCTGTTTCTTGTCATCTGCACTACATCCACGCACATTCAAGCATCAGTTGTCGTAAATTTCATTCTCTTAAGTGCAGGTTATTTGTGTATTGTTCTAGTCATGGTACCATGTCTTTTTATTCTTTATTTCAGATGTTGCTTCCAGAATCATCCATTATCGTTACAATAATGGCAAAGCAAGGTCATTCAGTTTCAATAATGAGGTTCAAAATATCAAAAACTTTCATGAACTTCTCTTAATACTAATTTCAACAACTCAATTAAAATATTAATGGTATTTGTTGAATTCTGTAAAGAAAATTTTCATTAATCACATAAAAACTGAAAAAAATGGATACTAACTAGGGACATTGATCGCAACTTTTTCTTTCCGTCTCTCACGAATATTGCGCGTGAGCGTCTTGAACCGTGGATGACTCTGCGTGATGGCAGCTTCGGGAAAGAATAGTGACCGAGAGACTCCAGAAGTGGGATCAGGGCAGGAAGGAGGGTAGGTGAAGTCCTCGCATCCCATCCTGCAAAGAGCATTATTTCTCACAATTTTCATTTTATATTCTTGTTAGATTTACTACACACCTAATAACATAGTTCTTTGCTGCTTTGAACTTATGGAAAATCTTCATGGTATGAGAACTGTTTCAAATTCAAATTCAATTCAAACTTTATTCTCTATAAGTATTACAATGCTGAGTTTACAGAATTTGGTTATTGTGTGGTTTACATGTAGTAAAATAATAATTACAGAGTGTACCACTAGAACGCCTAGCATGGCTAGGCATTTTGGGCAGACTTATATTAAATCTTAGGTTTAAAATGTTACAAAATTATGAGATAAGTTGGTATTATGGCTAAGTGACTAAATACTAGTTGTGAGTTTAGCAATGTGAATGCTTTTGTTTTGGCACTATACGTAGTTTCAGTATTGGAGTATCACAGGCCAACTTATGACTAGTTAAGATTCATTATTTTGAGAATGAGATTGATATTTCTGTTTATGGTCAAATGGGTGAGTGAGTGTAAGTGTGAACCACCAGGTGGTATTCGTATTATTAGTTGACAGGTGTTATCAGGAAATAAGATGTTTTCTGATGGTAGTTCTGAAGGTGATGAATGTGTCTGCAGTTTTGGAATTTTCAGGTAGGGTGTTCCAGATTTTAGGGCCTTTGACATACATTGAATTTTTGTAAAGGTTTAGTCGGACACGGGGAATGTCATAGAGATGTTTGTGTCTGGTGTTGTGCCTGTGGGTTCTGTCACAACTATCAAGAAAGCGTTTTAGGTCAAGGTTAATATTGGAATTTAAGGTCCTGTAGATGTAGATTGCACAGTAGTAAGTGTGGATGTACTGAACAGGGAGTAAGTTTAGATCTATGAAGAGTGGGGGGTGTGTTGCCAGGGATGGGATTTGGCGATTATTCTTACTGCGGCTTTTTGTTGGGTTATTATTGGCTTTAGGTGTGTTGCTGCAGTTGAACCCCAAGCACAGATAGCATAGGTGAGGTATGGATATATAAGTGAATGATATAGTGTGAGAAGGGCAGTTTGCGGCACGTAGTATCGTATCTTGGAGAGGATCCCAACCGTTTTGGATACTTTTTTGGTTATGTGTTGGATATGGGTGCTGAAGTTCAGGTTGTTGTCGAGGTATAGGCCTAGGAATTTGCCCTCATTATGCCTGGTAATTAGAGTGTTGTCGATCTTAATGTTAATTTGCGCATCTCCTGCTCTGCTACCAAACATAATGTAGTAGGTTTTGTCAACATTAAGCGTAAGTTTATTGGCTGTCATCCAAGTCAATATTTTGATCAGCTCCTCATTAACAATGGTGTTGAGGTTTGCAAGATTAGGGTGAGAGATGACATAAGTCGTGTCGTCAGCAAAGAGAATGGGGTTCAGGTGTCGAGATACGTTTGGAAGATCACTGATGTATATGAGGAAGAGCAGGGGACCAAGGACACTTCCCTGCGGAACTCCAGTATCAAGTGGCTGTGTTGTTGATGCTGTGTCTTTAATGGTGACATACTGATACCTATTAGTAAGGTAAGATTTGAAATATGCAAGCGCATGGCCTCTTATACCATAATGGTCAAGTTTGTGGAGTAGGATGCTGTGGTCTACTGTGTCAAAAGCTTTTCTTAGGTCAATAAAAATTCCTAGTGGATATTCCTTATTTTCCAATGCTGTGTAAAGCAGATCTAGCATTTTTATAATTGCATCGTTAGTGCTTTTATTTTTCCTGAATCCAAATTGGCAGGGGTTGAGTATGTTTTGTGACATAAATGAATATAGTCTCCTGTCCACGAGTTTCTCAAAGATTTTGGATAGCAATGGTAAGTTTGATATTGGCCTATAGTTGTTTAACCCTTTGACTGTTTTCGACGTATAAATACGTCTTACGAGCCAATGTTTTTGACGTATATATACTCAATAATTCTAGCGGCTTCAAATCAAGTGGGAGAAAGCTGGTAGGCCCACATGTGAGAGAATGGGTCTGTGTGGTCAGTGTGCACCACGTAAAAAAAATCCTGCAGCACACATTACGTAATGAGAAAAAAAAAACTGATCGTTTTTTTGGAATAAAACGCCGACTTTGATGTGTATTTTCGTATAGTATTTATCGTTGTATTCGCGTTTTCATGGTCTTAGGTGATAAAATGGAAAACATATTACAGAAACAGAGATGATTTTCATTACTTTTACGATGAAAACGACCTTGAAACTGAGCTCAAAGTAGCGGAAATGTTCGATTTTTACCAATGTTCAAGAGTAAATAAATCACACCACACGTCCAATACACGTCAACTGGGGAGTCTAATATTCTTTCACTAGTGCACTGATATTATTTATACCATTTTTACAATAATGCAGTCGTCTGCATAACAGTAAATTTTGTATTTTTTTGTATGAATAAAAAATCAAAAAGAAAGCAATAATAATATAAGAGGGGCCTAGAGATGTGACTAATGAACAGAGCATATGTTATTTTAGTGCCACGAATGTCTACCTTGTTTATTCTGGACCCTATTTTGAAATTGGCATCTTTTTTATTTTGCGTGAAATTGGCCAAATTGCCAATTTCTGACCACCATATTGGGTAGTCCAAATTAGTAAATGGGAGGTTTCTTTGTACTCAGCTGATAGATAAAATGGAGTTCTAAAGAAATAGCTATGAGTTTGGTCAACTGGAACAATGGAATTGGCTGAAAATAGGGCTCAAAGTCGGCGAAATCGCCGATACGCATATGTCGCCGAGACCGCTAACTTCGCGGGAGCATAATTCCACGAGTTTTCGACCAAATTTTGAACTTTTGGTGTCATTACCATCGGGAAAAGATTCTCTATCATTTCATAAGAAAAAATAATTTGTTTTTTTTTTCAAAAATTGAGCGACATAGAATGACAGTTTCAGAGAGGGGCCTGAAACAGTCAAAGGGTTAAATCTGTAGGGTCACCACCTTTATGTATTGGTGTAACCCTTGCCGTCTTGAGTAGTTTCGGGAAGGTGCTAGCTTCTAGTGACTTGTTAAAAAGCAATGAGATAGTATGCGAGAGGACATGGGCCACTCTCTTGTACAATAATGGTGGGACATGAGACAGATTCCCTGAGTTATTTTTAAGTGACTTTATAATCTCGGTGACTTCCGTGGGCTCAGTTGGAGCAAGATAGAAGGAATTTGGGAAATTCCCATCTAGGTAGTCCCCGGCATGGGCATTGGTACGTGGGATTTTATTGGCGAGATTAGAACCTATGGTTGAGAAGAAGTCGTTTATCTTGTTAGCTGTGTCGGTGGGTTGCAGTGGTGTTTAGTTAGGACAATATTCTTGTTTTTTTTTTTCAGTTTGTGGGTCCCTAGAATCTGAGAGTGTGTTTTCCAGGTCTTTTTTATATCTCCTCTTGTGTCAGTGAATCTACTGGGTTAATGAATACAGATTCAGATTCAGATTCTTTATGTCAGCATATAATGTTCATACAGAGATGGGTGACAATTAGGTGTGCATGGAGAAAGCCCCTTAGCATGCAGAACATTTTGAGTAAACTTAAGCCTATCTTAACACTAATAAGGCAATAACTAATTGATTTTATAAATATACCTAGATGGATGAATCTTACTGTAGACAGTAGGCCCAGTGGCTTACACACTGGCTTGGAGTTATGCCAGTCACTTGCCTTGAGCTTGAGCCCCACCCATACTGTGGTTTGTTTGCAATTGTGTTACTGTACTATGATTTCGTGAGTCATAATTGATTGCTTATGTAAACTTTCTCTAAGTGGTTATAATAACCAGTGGAGTGCAACGTTTGAAAACATTATGATAAACTAAAAGCTGTAGGCATGACATTAGGTGCTTAGCTCCACTCCTTTAGCAACAAACAGGTACACTGGACCCTTGGTTTTTGTGATTAATCCGTTCCAGAGAGTCTGACCAAACCCAAAAATCACAAAAACCGAAATAATTTTCCCCATAAGAAATAATGTAAATCCAATTAATCCATTTCAGACACCCAAAAAATATTAACTAAAAATACATTTTAGAAAGAATAACTATAGTTTTACATACAGAAAACAATGAAATAAATGAAATGGATAAATGAACATTTAACATCACTTTTACCTTTATTGAAGACTCTTGTTGGCATACGGAAGACAACGAGGAAGGGAGAGGGAGGAGGAGGAGAGGTTATTGTTTGGAAGGGGAATTCCCGTCCATAAGGAATTCAGGTATCAAGGCCCTATCCGAAGTTACTTCCCTTCTTTGTCTTTTACTGGCACTAGGACCAGCTTGAGAGTCACTGGACCCCTGTCGCACAAAAAATCTGCCCAGAGAGGTCTGTTTCTGGCATCTCTAAGATTTGCCGAAAATGGGACAAGGCATTGTCATTAAACATGTTGCAGACATGGCTTGCAACAGTTTTGTTAGGGTGATATTTCCCCACAAAACTTTGAAACATGTCCTTAATCACTGAAGAAGGCACATTCTCCCCTCTCTCTTCCTCCTCCTCTGAAGCAATTTCCTCAGCTGCAGTCTGTTGCTGTTCCAGTTGAAGATCTTGCAGCTCTTCCCTGTGGTCGTCCATCAACTCTTCCACATCTTGGCCACTCACATCCAACCCCATGGGCTTCCCCAAAGACACAATAGATTCCACAACAGGCATAGGGTCGTCAGGGTCAGCCTCAAACCTTTCAAAATCACGAGCTCATGGGATGCTTTGTGTGGGCGCTTGATTCCGGGCAATGAGTAGCCGTGTCACGCAGGCAGGCAGACGAGTTTGGTACGGACCATTTTCAACTGTACAAAAACTGAGCGGATGTACAAAAACTGGGACAAAATTTCGACGAAAAAAGTCGTCGAAAACCGAATCGTATGAAAACTTTGTCTTCTTTGTTTCACACCTGTGAGCGGAACAAACCCTGTCTTCTTTGTTTCACACCTGTGAGCGGAACAAACCCTGTTACATAAAGATACTGGCAAGCAAATTGACAGAGGAACAGGGCAAGAGATAACAAAGGTAATGTAAGTGACAAGAGAGGGTCAAAAAAAAAAAAAAAGTGATATGAAGTGATTAAAAATTAAGCTAGGACTTATGAATGCCCTGAGATTATAATAATCCCCATTCTTTACTTGTCAAAGACTCATCTGTCAAGATTTCACCTGTCATATCACCACACCTAATCTAGGCTCTCAAAGACTTGTCCTCATTATTCAGGCAGTTTTAGAATGAAAATGGCTAAACCCTTTTAGATACATGTTTGACTGAAGTGCCAAATTAATTTTGGATGTGTCGTACACACTATACCACTCTGCATTATTACCACCTTCCTCAAAGATTCCTTCTTAATTACATCTATTTATTATTTGTCTTTCCTTTGCATAGTGGGGCATATATTTCACTGACCTTGCAAAAATATTTTATGTACAGGTACAACATCAGCTACAAAATTCAGCTTGGTCCATTTGTCTGAAATGTGCAACATTGGATTACTGTCAGTATAATCCTAATACAGCCTTTCCTCACTCAGCGATGTACTCGTTTACCGATGCCTCGGACTTATGACGGGCTCTCTGACCAGTATAATTCCTAAATCATGTATGTTTGAGTTGATTTCCTCTATTCTGTTTATTTTAATATACAGTACACTACTGTATAAACATTTAAAAATATACTAGAAATGTTATAAATGGTGCAAAGGTTACATTAAAACAATATCAAAGGTAGCCGACACAAACTCACTACCACTATAGTATGCTCCTCACTTAGCAACGAATTCGTTTGACGACGTGGTCTTAGGAACGAAACTCTGTTATTAAGTGAGGAGAGGCTGTATTGGCCAATATCTTGCCTTAAATTAGCAAGGTCCTAAATATGACATTGTACAGGCTGCCAAGTACACTTGTTAGTGAAATTGTCTGTAATGTAAACACCACTACTCCCAAGAGTAATGTGGTAATGGTGCAGAAACTGGTAAGAAAGCTCTCATCTGAAGCAGCTCCTGTCCTTAACATTGATGGGAGAGAATTAACGAATCCAGTCATTATAGGGAATGCAACATGGCATCACTTCACTAAAGTCTCCCAAGGATGTCATTTAAGGTAACAAAACACACACTCCACTTGTATGAATATTGTAAAAGAGATCAGAAGAGATGTGTGAAGATTTAAGACCAAAAGGCATAACCACAAGCTAATAGCAGGGAAAAACTTGGGGAAGCCACAATGAACTGGGACATGATGAAAGGGTTTTCAGTTTTGAATCTGGTCACTGGCATAAGAAAGTTCATGGTCTTCAGGTCCAGAATGAGGAACACTTTCTCTACTTTGGCACCGAGATCCTGGAAAAGAAATGTACAACTATATCTGACATGTCTGCCACAACACCAGGCTTGCCAAGGATGCCACCAAGGGAACAACAAACAAGAAGCTAATAATAGCAGTGGCACAATGCACTGACAAAAAAGTTGGATCCTCTCCTGAGTATTAGAGGAAAAGAGCACCATACACGAATCTCGTGCAATCCAGCGTAAAGTAGACCAACTTCCCGCAAGAACAAAACTATCTGTAGGCAGCACATGCCAGTAAACTCCATTGGGACAAAAGGGGTCAGGCCCATGCTCTTTTGACAGGCTCTGGGTACACTAAAAGAGGTGGCAGCCACGTGTGGCCATGGTACAAATGGCTGCCTTATATCTCGAACCAACATATGCCATACACCTATAGGATTACCCAGAAGGCAATGAGGCAGACTGATCAGTTGGAGTGTATCACAGATTCTTTGTGCTATGCAAAGCGAATGTCCATTCATTAAAGGTAGTCTTGAAAAGCAGTAGAGGCTGACAAATATTTAAGCTAATTGGACAGACTAAAAAACCAAACACTTCATAGCAAGAGGTACTGATAAGTGTTTTATTTAAGTGATGAAGAAATAACTGGGCTCTAATGCATTCTGAGAGCCACAGGTGATCTTGACCACTGTAAACACCTGGCAGATATATCAATACTGGGCAGAAAACATGATTAGGAACCTTACTTGGACCTACAGCAGTGAGTACATACATGTGAATTAGGTGTGACAGTAGGTGGGATCCCAGGGGACAGCAGAAATAACAATCCTGCATTTAATTTTAAAATATTTTTTCTACATTATATTTAAAAAAACTGCAAATATTTTAAGAAAAAGTGTGCAAATTATTCTATCTTATCCTACCAGAACTGGAATTTGAGATAAGCAGCCTACCTGGGAAAATTAGTGAGAGAGAGGACGACTTCATCAGGTTGCAGCAAGCTCTGTACTTCACTTCGACGAAAGCTCATGTTGTGCTCCACGATGTTGAAGTGTTGAGCCAAGGAACCATAGGGCTGGCCAGGGGTTCCCTCCACCATGTATTCTGCATATTCAGGCCGCCACAGTGACCGTACCTCCCTGTCAAGTGGAATTCATCAAATATCATGGCCACCAAGAAATCCCACAGGCTATACTCTCTTGATTACCACCCACAGGATAAAATCTCTTCAACTATCACCCACAAGATGTAATCTCCTCGACTACCACCCACAGGATGTAATCTCTTCGACTACCACCCACAGGATGTAATCTCTTCGACTACCACCCACAGGATGTAATCTCTTCGACTACCACCCACAGGATTCAGTAAGTTTATTTAGGCATAGGTACACATAAGTACAATTACCATACAGTGTAAGTAACCTAGGATATCCCCTCAGAAAAGTCAAAGTGACTTATTTCCATTGCATAATAAAGTGGGTGCATAATAAAGATATTAATCTAACTGAGAAACTGTATTGCTTAAATAATAAACGAGACATGTAAATAAATGTAATTTATATACGTTTATAAACAGGTTATTTTTCACTAAGGCGAAGTGTCCTTCCTTTTTTTTTTTATTAGCATCATTAGGAACTTTAACTGACCCAAAGAAATGGGATTTTGGACAGAAAAAAAAGTGTGGGATTTATAATGAACTGAAATTGAAAGGATAGTCAGATCTCAGTACAAAACTGACTCAGTACAGATCATGTTTATTTTATTTATTTATTTAATGTCTTTGCAAACAGTACATTGAGAGCATTGACCCCAGCTCCTCAGTGGTGACTGACCCCAGCTCCTCAGTGGTGACTGACCCCAGCTCCTCAGTGCTGACTGACCCCAGCTCCTCAGTGCTGACTGACCCCAGCTCCTCAGTGCTGACTGACCCCAGCTCCTCAGTGCTGACTGACCCCAGCTCCTCAGTGCTGACTGACCCCAGCTCCTCAGTGCTGACTGACCCCAGCTCCTCAGTGCTGACTGACCCCAGCTCCTCAGTGCTGACTGACCCCAGCTCCTCAGTGCTGACTGACCCCAGCTCCTCAGTGCTGACTGACCCCAGCTCCTCAGTGCTGACTGACCCCAGCTCCTCAGTGCTGAATGACCCCAGCTCCTCAGTACTGACTGACCCCAGCTCCTCAGTACTGACTGACCCCAGCTCCTCAGTACTGACTGACCCCAGCTCCTCAGTACTGATTGACCCCAGCTCCTCAGTACTGATTGACCCCAGCTCCTCAGTACTGACTGACCCCAGCTCCTCAGTACTGACTGACCCCAGCTCCTCAGTACTGACTGACCCCAGCTCCTCAGTACTGACTGACCCCAGCTCCTCAGTACTGACTGACCCCAGCTCCTCAGTACTGACCCCAGCTCCCCAGTACTGACTGACCCCAGCTCCCCAGTACTGACTGACCCCAGCTTCCCAGTACTGACTGACCCCAGCTGCTCCCCAGTACTGACCCCAGCTCCCCAGTACTGACCCCAGCTCCCCAGTACTGACTGACCCCAGCTCCCCAGTACTGACAGATCCCAGCTCCTCAGTACTGACAGACCCCCAGTATTGACCCTAGCTCCCCGGTATTGATCCTAGCTCCCCAGTACTGACCCTAGCTCCCCAGTACTGACCCTAGCTCCCCAGTACTGACCCTTGCTCCCCAGTACTGACCCTAGCTCCCCAGTACTGACCCTAGCTCCCCAGTACTGACCCTAGCTCCCCAGTACTGACCCCCAACTCCCTAATACTGACCCCCAGCTTCCTAATACTGACCCCCCTAGCTCCCCAGTACTGACCCCAGCTCCCTAGTACTGAGAGACCCCAGCTCCCCGGTACTGACAGACCCCAGCTCCCCAGTTCCCGAGTATTGACCCTAGCTCCCCGGTATTGATCCTAGCTCCCCAGTACTGACCCCCCAGCTTCCAAATACCGACCCCCCCCCGCAGGACTGACCCCAGCTCCCAAGTACTGACCCCAGCTCCCCAGGACTGACCCCAGCTCCCAAGTACTGAACCCAGCTCCCAAGTACTGAACCCAGCTCCCAAGTACTGAACCCAGCTCCCAAGTACTGAACCCAGCTCCCCAGGACTGACCCCAGCTCCCAAGTACTGAACCCAGCTCCCAAGTACTGAACCCAGCTCCCCAGGACTGACCCCAGCTCCCCAGGACTGACCCCAGCTCCCAAGTACTGAACCCAGCTCCCAAGTACTGAACCCAGCTCCCAGGATGACCCAGCTCCCAAGTACTGAACCCAGCTCCCAAGTATGACCAGCTCCCAGGACTTACCCCAGCTCCCAAGTACTGAACTCAGCTCCCAAGTACTGAACCCAGCTCCCAAGTACTGAACCCAGCTCCCCAGGACTTACCCCAGCTCCCAAGTACTGAACCCAGCTCCCAAGTACTGAACCCAGCTCCCCAGGACTGACCCCAGCTCCCAAGTACTGACCCCAGCTCCCAAGTACTGACCCCAGCTCCCAAGTACTGACCCCAGCTCCCAAGTACTGACCCCAGCTCCCAAGTACTGACCCCAGCTCCCCAGGACTGATCCCAGCTCCCAAGTACTGAACCCAGCTCCCCAGGACTTACCCCAGCTCCCAAGTACTGAACCCAGCTCCCCAGGACTGACCCCAGCTCCCAAGTACTGACCCCAGCTCCCAAGTACTGACCCCAGCTCCCAAGTACTGACCCCAGCTCCCAAGTACTGACCCCAGCTCCCAAGTACTGACCCCAGCTCCCCAGGACTGATCCCAGCTCCCAAGTACTGAACCCAGCTCCCCAGGACTTACCCCAGCTCCCAAGTACTGAACCCAGCTCCCCAGGACTGAACCCAGCTCCCAATTACTGAACCCAGCTCCCAAGTACTGAACCCAGCTCCCCAGGACTGACCCCAGCTCCCAAGTACTGACCCCAGCTCCCAAGTACTGACCCCAGCTCCCAAGTACTGAACCCAGCTCCCAAGTACTGAACCCAGCTCCCCAGGACTTACCCCAGCTCCCAAGTACTGAACCCAGCTCCCAAGTACTGAACCCAGCTCCCCAGGACTGACCCCAGCTCCCAAGTACTGACCCCAGCTCCCAAGTACTGACCCCAGCTCCCCAGGACTGATCCCAGCTCCCCAGTACTGACCTTGGGTTGGTCTCCTCAGCTTCTCTCAGCACCTCCAACAGTTCTGAACCTCGTAAGCTGAGTCTGGCTCTCCTGTTCTTGTGGTCCAACTTGATGATCATATATTCAATCTGAAATACAAAATAAAAGCTTCATGTAGTGGATTGTGTGATGAAATTTATTATTATTATTATAATCAAGGGGGAAGCGCTAAACAAGGAGGATTATACAGCGCCGGGGGGGGGGGATGTGGAAGGCATTCAGGCTTAATTCGGGGAACTGGAGCACAGATCTAATTCCCTAAATCAAGAGCCCCTCACCAACATCAAGGAACCTTCCTTGAGGGGTGTGTGATGAAAGTATTTATGTACCCTGACCCATGTTCAAGGACCCCAGTGAAATAGGTCAATAACTTTTTCTTGGTTTATCATAGGTAATTTACACACGTTACTATACATGTATTGTACCTAAATAAACTTAAGGATTTGATTTCTTTGAATAGTTTACAATGTGTAATTACAATTTTGATTTGCTAAGTACAAAGAAAGCCACTATAATGCCGGGGCATTTCGGGCAGACTAAATCTAATGCTTAACAGACTACTTAATATTGGGCATATATATATGTCATGGTTGGTTGGAATTGAATACCATTTTTTTTTTATATTTTAACAGGCACGTGTGTTGTGTGTTAATGTGTTTATTATGCGCCCCATACCCATCCTGTGGGTGGTAGTCAAAAGATTATTGAGGTACATAATGGGTCCAGGGACTGACTCCAAAGTTTTGAGACATGACCAAGTTACGAAGGTAATGGACTAGATCTGGTCACAGTCATGACCAAGTTACAAAGGTAATGGACTAGATCTGGTCACAGTCATGACCAAGTTACAAAGGTAATGGACTAGATCTGGTCACAGTCATGACCAAGTTACAAAAGTAATGTACGGGCAAGTGTCAGTATATATGCTGTATATCAGAGGTATATAATGATGAATTTGACATGTGCCATATCTGGGTTTCTCTATTCTGTAGACGTTTTCAAAGTTTATTCTCTATAAGGATTACAATGCTGAGTTTACAGGAATTTGGTTATTGTTTGGTTTACATGTAGTAAAATTGTGATTACAGAGTGTACCACTAGAACGCTTAGCATGGCTAGGCATTTCGGGCATACTTAGTTTTATTCTTAAATGTAAAATATATATATTTTGCTAACCAGTGGCTTTATCAGTACAATAAGAAAGACCCTAGAAGTAGATGCGGTAATCAGTCCCTCATCCTAGAAGCATGTGTTTAATACCGTGGTCTTGATAAATCTGAAGCACAAGCAGGTTACATAATATCTCTCTCTGAATTTTGATTTGATAAGATTCGTCAGGAAGCAGGACAAATACTTCCTGATTTGGGTCTTAGTCATATGATGACCACCCCCCTGCTGGAGCTTTTGGTCATCTGATCGAGACCTTCCACTGCCTCGCCAGTCCACCCCCTTTAAAAATTAAAATATAGTCCACACCCAGCAAGACACGCGTCATATGATTGCGATGATTAAAAGATTTAGATTTTGCCACCGAAGTGGCTAGTTTATTGTGCACACCATATCCATCCTGTGGACGGTAGCACAAGATCATATGGATACACAAAAGGCCCAGGAACTAGGCCCCAAAAGGGTTAACAGGTGTACATTTGGATTTATATCTACACTTCACTTATTTGTTCCAAACAAATTTATGAAATTTGCTTAGTATA